TTCTTGGCCCAAATTTCTCTCCCCTTTATATCTGGTGGGAAGAGGAACTGCCCCAGAATGAGGCAGTGACTTGCAAAAGGTCACATAGCTAGTCGGGGGCAAAGTCCATGCCTGCCCAAGGAGCAGGAATAGAGCCTTCCTTAAAGGACCTTGCCAGAAAATATTTAAGATCTGTCCCTGTCACAGCCCTCCAAAGGCCCTTTGTTGATGGGCCTGTTCACTTGCGAATTGCTAACGAGCCCAAGCCTGTAACCTGCGAGGGTGGGGTCCCTCGCTTTTTTTTTTTTTTTTTTTTTTTTTTTTCAGACGGAGTCTGGCTCTGCCGCCCAGGCTGGAGTGCAGTGGCCAGATCTCAGCTCACTGCAAGCTCCGCCTCCCGGGTTCACGCCATTCTCCTGCCTCAGCCTTCCGAGTAGCTGGGACTACAGGCGCCCGCCACCTCGCCCGGCTAGTTTTTTGTATTTTTTAGTAGAGACGAGGTTTCACCGGGTTAGCCAGGATGGTCTCGATCTCCTGACCTTGTGATCCGCCCGTCTCGGCCTCCCAAAGTGCTGGGATTACAGGCTTGAGCCACCGCGCCTGGCTGGGCTCCCTCGCTTTAAGAAAACCTACTTTATAGTCACTAGTTCAGTGGGAGAGGAAGGGTTCTAGAGTCTGAAGAGGGGAGATCTGGGCTGGCAGAGGCTGCAGGTGTTGGGGAGGGGCACTTCATGCCAGGGAAAGGCCTGGAGGAAGGGGCTGGGATGGATGTTGAGAAGGGGGAAGGAGTCACCCAAATAATGCTCAGTAATCCGCACAGCATCCCTGAGAGTTTGGGATTATTATCCCAGGTTTACAGATGGGAAAACTGAGGTTCTGAGAGGTACAGGCAGAGCTGACTTCATGGCTTAAGCTCTTTCTGCAACAATGGCATCATGTGTCACCACTTGCATCCCCCATTTCTATGACCTCTCCCACTTAAAACACCCCTCTTCTCTTCTTCCCCTTTTCCCTAGAGAATAAGAAATCAAGACCTGGGTTCAAGCTATGGCTAGATGTTGGTCCAAGTCTCTATTTTCTCATCTGTAGGATGGGAGGTGATGCTATTACAAACTTTCTAGGGCATTCTGAGGTCTCACTTAATAGGTATTTATTAAGGGCCTTCTTTTTTTATTAGACAAGAGTTTCTCTCTGTCACCCAGGCTGGAGTGCAATGGTGTGATCTTGGCTCACTGCAAGCTCCACCTCCTGGGTTCAAGCCTCAGCCTCCCGAGTAGCTGGGATTACAGATGCTACTCCACCACCACCATTGGCTAATTTTTTTTGTATTTTTAGTAGAGACGGGGTTTCACCATGTTGGCCAGACTGTTCTTGAACTCTTGACCTCAAGTGATCTGCCCGCCTCAGCCTCCCAAAGTGCTGGGATTACAGGCGTGAGCCACTGCGCCGGGCCATATTAAGGGCCTTCTTAAGTTGACAATGGCACAGGTGAAAGCAGTCTGTGAAGGTTCTCAGGGCCATTGAGAGGTGTGGTGACGCTGGTGATTTGTTCTTGCATGTTGGGGAGGAAACGAGGGAGAAAAGCAGGCCTGGTATCTCCCAGGTGTAACACACCAGGAAACAGGTCTCCTAACAGGAGGAAGGCACCCAGGACTCAGGATGCTCTCCCATCACCTCAAGGTGGGGACACACAGGTAATCCAAGTAAGGTCACCTGAGTTGGGGAGGCAGAAATCATGATGGTGACTCACAGAACCCCCCCCCCCGCCCCCGCGCTGGGGCTGAGCCAGAGCTCCTGGGGGCCGGGAATGGCCTGGGTGGGGCCCTCCTGAGGGGTGGGCCACTCTGATGTGCTGACTCACCAGGTGAGTGGCTCCAGCATCACTGTCCCTGTGGTGGTGCGGGGAGAGTTCCAGCTCTAAAGGCAGCTCTTCTGCTTCCCTTACTGAGCTCATTTTTCATCTGTGAAATGGGGAGGAAAGTAGTGTCTAGTGGTACACCACAACCATCACCAGGGCATTTATATAGCACTCTGCTATTTTCTTTATTTTTTTTTTTGAGACAGGGTCTTGCTCTGTTACGCAGGCTGGAGTGCGGTGGCACCATCATGGCTCACTGCAGCCTCAACCTCCTGTGCTCAATTGATCCTCCTGCCTCAGACTCTGGGGTAGCTGGGACTACGTACCCCATGCCAGGCTTTTTTTTTTTTTTTCTGAGACAGAATTTCGCTCTTGTTGCCCAGGCTGGAGTGCAATAGTGCAATCTTGACTCACTGCAACCTCCACCTCCTGGGTTCAAGCGATTCTTCTACCTCAGCCTCCCAAGTAGCTGGGATCACAGGCATGCACCACCATGGCTGGCTAATTTTGTATTTTTAGTAGAGATAGGGTTTCTCCATGTTGGTCAGGCTGGTCTCGAACTCCTGACCTCAGGTGATCCACCCACCTCAGCCTCCCAAACTGCTGGGATTACAGGCATGAGCCACCACACCTGGCCTGGCCTTTTTTTTTTTTTTTCCTGTAGAGACATGTTCTCACCATGTTGCCCAGGCTGTTCTCAAACTCCTGGGCTCATGCAATCCGCCTGCTTTGGCCTCCTAAAGTGCTGGGATTACAGGTGTGAGCCACCGTGCTCAGCTTATATATGAATTCTTAATACTCAGAGCAACCTTGGAAGTTGGCAATATTATTTCCATTTTACTGATGAGGAAACTGAGGCTCAGAGAGGTGGTAAAGTGAAAATTAAATAAGATGATCCATGTTATACACTGAACACCATGTGTAGCATGTAAAAAGCCTATAACAACCTCAGAGGAAAATTGTAAAGTGCTAGGCCCCACATTAGTGTCTGGTGACTAGTCAGGTACCTGATGTCAGGCCCTGAGACACAGAGATGAATCAGACCAGGCCCTACCCTCCAGAAGCAGACAGTCACATACAAACCTCACTCCTTGCTCCCCACCACCCCAAACACACATACCACACACAGACAGTGACAGCCCAGGGTGATTAAGGTAGGTCAGAGGGGGTTAGGGCGGTGGGTGCACAGGCAGTCCCTGACCTGTCTATGGAGGGAGGGCTTCCTGGAAGAGGTGATATCTGAACTGAAACCTGCAGGATAAGGAGGAGTTTTGGCATATGGCAAAATGTCAACAAATGTTGGTCAAATACAGTAAAGGTTTACCTTAGAGCTAATACAGCTTATAGCTTCAGGATTCCTCATTTACCTGGCCCCTTCCAAGGCTCTGGGGGAACCCTGGCAATTTTATACAGGCTGACTATCCCTAACCCAAAATGCTCTGGACCAGAAGTGTTTCAATTTTTGGATTTTTATGGATTTTGGAATATTTGCACATGCATAATGAATTATCTTGGGGATGAGATCCAAGCCTAAACATGAAATTCATTTGTTTCATATACACCTTACACACATAACCTAATGGTAATTTTTTTTTTTTTGGCAGGGGGTGGGAGGACAGAGTTTTGCTCTTGTTGCCCAGGCAGGAGTACAATGGTGTGATCTCGGCTCACTGTAACCTTCGCATTCTGGGTTCAAGCAATTCTCCTGCCTCAGCTTCCCGAGTAGCTGGGATCAGAGGCATGTGCCACCACACCTGGCTAATTTTGTATTTTTAATAGAGATGGGTTTCTCCATGTTGGTCAGGCTGGTCTCAAACTCCTGACCTCAGGCGATCCGCCCGTCTCAGCCTCCCAAAGTGCTGGGATTACAGGCGTGAGCCACCGTGTTCGGCCGCCTAAAGGTAATTTTATACAATATTTTTAGTAATTTTGTGCATGAAACAAAGTTTGTGTACACTGAACCATCAGAAAGCAGAAGTGTCACTCTCTCAGCCACCCATGTGGACAACCTGTGATTATTTGGCATCACCATCATTTTTGACTCTGAATTTATGTGCTCCCAATAAGCATTTTTTTTTTTTTACCCTTATTCAGACATAAGTACTTAACAATAAAAATATAACATGCCATTAATGCAGTGAAAAAATAAAGTGTTCAGGGTAACTCAGCAGCACGTGAGCATCAGTAGAATGGCTGTGGCCGCTGTAACAACAGCACAGCAAACATGGCAGGCCTGCAGTCTCCAACTACAGTGCTGAAAAAGCTTCAAGTTTCAGCCTGGGCACGGTGGTTTACGCCTGTAATTCCACTGTGGGAGGCCAAAGTAGGCGGATCACTTGAGGTCCAGAGTTTGAGACCAGCCTGGCCAACATGGCAAAACCCTGTCTGTCTCTACTAAAACTACAAAAATCAGCTGGGCATGGTGGCACATCCCTGTAATCTCAGCTACTCGGGAGGCTGTGGGATGAGAATCCCTTGAACCCTGGAGATGGAGGTTGTGGTGAGCCAAGATCAAGAGATCGTGCCACTGCACTCCAGCCTGGGCAACAGAGTGAGACACTGTCTCAAAAAAAAGAGGAAAAAAAAGAAAGCTTCAAATTTTGGAGCATTCTGGATTTCAGTTTTTCAAATTAGGAATGCTCAACCTGTACTGGTAAATTTGTATTTTTTTTTTGAACAGTGGCCTCCCCATTGTAAGCTTCTGGATCCACTCCTGGTTACACAAACGACTAACAAGTGACAAGGGAGGAAAGTGTGTTCCACACAGAGGGAACAGCATGTTTGAATGCCTAGAGATTTGAAAGCGCATGGCATGCGATTGGGGCCCCAGCCTCATCACCCTCTTTACACGTACTGCTGGTGGCCTCACCATCCTTACCCTTTCCCTCCTCCATGCCTTCATCCATGCTGCTCCCGGATCTGGTACACCCTCTCCACGACTTCAGTTTGTTTAAATAATATAAACTTCAAGGCTCAGTTCTGTCACCACCTCTTCCAGGAAGCTCCCCAGGCTCTCCCCTTGTCTGAATTCTTTATAGTTGCTGGTGGATGTCATCATAGCTTGCTTCTAGTAGTTAATTATCTTTTTCGTGCCTGTATATGAGACTCCCAGAGATGGGATGATTCTTGCAAATGAGCACCTGGCCGCTGCTCACAAATGGGCAGGATGGGACTTCACTGCCTTTCCAGGCAGCCTGCTTAGATTTAAGCAGCTACCACCAAGCCCAAACTGCCTGGCTCCCCTGGGATCTGGTGCAAGTCCTGTCCCCACTGTGGTTGCTTCTGCAGGTTGTCCCCTTCTGCTTCTTCTTCTGGTGTCCTGGAGGTCATGGTTGCTCCAGGGGAGCTACAGTCCTTCCTTACTTCTGTCCCTTCCTTTGTGAAGGGACAGCTCTAATGGCAGCCACATGCTGTGATGAGTCATGGTTAAGAGCAGCATCTGGGGCCAGGAGGTGGTGGCTGGTTAACTCTTCATGGGCCAGTGGCTCTCTCTGCCAGAAGATCAGGTCAGGTGGAGACACTCGCCTCAGGGCTCGGTGCACAGTGGACATTTGGGGAGTGTTGTGGGTGACCCCCACACAAGCGCTGGGAATGCCGGGGAGAGGGGGCCAAGAGGGGAAGTGGCCAGAGTGTTGGCTTTGGATTCAGGAGGGATGGATTCCAGTCCTAGCTTGCCACTTACTAGGTGAGTGACCATGCGTGAATCAAATGAACCGCATGCCTCAGTTTTCCCATCTATAAAATAGCAATTATGGGATCATTTGAGAAGGCAGTGTGAACTGCCAGCTAGCGGTGACTGCTAAACCGTTTTTCCCGCCTTCTGGTCTCCTGCAGTCACTCAGTGGGCAAGATGGTGGGATTAAAATCCAGGCCTGGCTCTGGGGGATGTCTTTGTCTGCACGAATGCCCTAATTAATGCGGGAGCATGGTGACGGCTCAGGTGGGGGCCGCTTCGGAGCGGGAGCTGTGGGGAGGGGAAGTGACAGTAAAGTGGACCTCAGGTCCCGGAGAACTTCTAGCGCCAAATAGGTGGGGACGTGTGAGGAGGGCGCCAGCTCCCGGCCCGGGCGGTGTCTGCGCAGAGGGCGCCGAGCTCTCACCTGTCGGAGCGGGGGTGGGGGCCGCCCGAACCCCCTGGCGGTGCAGGAGCGCGGGTCGCCGCGGGCGGCCATGGCCCCACGGTGCGGGTGGGGAGACCGAGGCCCGGCCCGGCCCCGCCGCCTTCCCCGCCCCCGCCGCGCCCCTCCCCGGCCGCCGCGTCCGCGACCGCACAGCGCCCGGCTCGGGGTTCCGGCGGCAGCACCTGGGCCGCGGCTGGCGTCCGGCTGGGGCAGCGCAGCCCGCGCCCCTCGGCGATGACCTCGGCTGGCGCCCCGGGAGCCCTGCCCGCGGGGTAAGTGCGCGGCTGGGAGGCCCGGGGGCGCGGGCGGCGCCGGCTGGGGCCGGGGCGGGTGGCGGGCGCCACGCCAGGCTTCCCCTGCGCACCAGCCTGGGGCCGCACTGCGGCTTCCAGCCCCCACCCTGCCAGGCCCCTGGGAGCCGCCGCCGCCGCCAGGAGTGGGGGCGGGGGGCTGCCAAGGAGGCGGAGGCGCGGAGACCCCGGGTCGGTCACTCCCCTTCTGGGTCCCAACTTTCTCACGGAACTATAGTTACAGACACGTTCAGAGCAGCCTTCCCCACCTGCCTCGTGGCGTTCACTCCTGTGGGGTGGGCCCTGTTACTCTCATCCCTGTTACAGATGAGGAAACTGAGGCACAGCACTTAAGTGACTTGTCATCGGTCACCCAGGAGGTAAGAGTTGGGGGTGGGATTTGAACTCAATTCTGTCTGTTGTCAGATCCCCCTACCCCATCATCTTCAGGGACATTAGGGGAATTTAAACGGCTAAGGTATGGGCCAGCCGGGCCCATTGGGTGCAGCAGGAACCTGGATAGTAAAAAGTGAGTGTTGTCACCTTCAGCGTGGCTCTCCTGCCCAACCCTACCCACATCCCACTGAGAAACCCCTACGGGACCCCTACCTAGATCACCCCCGCCAGTGACAGACACTACTGTGGGGAGACCTTCAGCAACTCTCTGCTTTTCCTGGGCCCCACTGGGCAGGGAAGGGGGCAGCTGCTAGGAGCCCTGACTGCTGGGAGGTTGCTGGGCAGAGAGCCGGTCCAGGTGAGCTGGGAGGAGGGCTCACCCTGCCTGGAGCCTCACCACCAGTGACAATATTTGCTAAGGGCCGGAGGCGTGACACGTGAACAGGGAGGTGACGAGGCTGGTGCCAGCTGGCAGCTAGAAGCCTCCACAGGGCTTGCGTGTGTGTGGCTGTATCAGGGCTTGGAAGCTGGGTTGCTGGGGGACACCCTGGCCTGGGAGAGAGTTGCGTGGCGAGTTTCAGCTTGATCATCTTTGTTGTATGACTTTGGCCAGTCCTTTACACTTCCTAGACTTCTGGTCCCTCCTTTAGAAAACACAGAGAAGTGGGACTGGCTGCTCCTTTCCTGCTCTGGGCCCAAGTCTTTGTAAAGCTGGAGGTTGGGTAGGTTCCTTCTGCGCAGCCCTGACTGAGCACCACCACCCTGCTGGGTCCAGAAGAGTGGTTTCCAGGAGAGAAGGAGGGCATGGAGCAAGGTATCTATCAAAGAAGTCTAGACTCCAGGGCTGAAAACCACATTCATCCCACTTCTTTATATGCTTACATCCCTGCCTAAGTGCCCTCTACAACCCTGGGCTCCTCTGGCCCTGCTGCAGGCCTCAGGACAGCAAGCTTGCTCTTCTCACGGGGAGGGGGTGGGTCTTCCTTATGCGCAACCATACCTGCCTCTCTGCATGCCTGCCCACTCTTCTTTGAAGCCACCTGTCCATCTGTCACCACCCCTGGTTAGGGTCATCCTAGTGGGGTCTGAGCAGAGGAGGGCTGCACGCAGCAGGACCATTCTCACCTTCACTACAGAGACACTCACTCAACAGACACTCAGCAAGGCCTGCTCTGGGGCCAGATGGTCATTGGTGAACAAATCAAGCCTTAAATCCCTACCTCTTTAAAAATTATGAAATATTTTAAGTCTTCAGAAAAATATAGCAAATAGTAAGATGAACTCGGCCGGGCGCGGTGGCTCAAGCCTGTAATCCCAGCACTTTAGGAGGCAGAGACGGGCGGATCACAAGGTCAGGAGATCGAGACCATCCTGGCTAACACGGTGAAACCCCGTCTCTACTAAAAAAATACAAAAAAACTAGCCGGGCGAGGTGGCGGGCGCCTGTAGTCCCAGCTGCTCGGGAGGCTGAGGCAGGAGAATGGCGTAAACCCGGGAGGCAGAGCTTGCAGTGAGCTGAGATCTGGCCACTGCACTCTAGCCTGGGCGATAGGGGGAGACTTTTTCTCAAAAAAAAAAAAAAAAAAAAAGATGAGCTCACATACCCTTGCCACCCAACTTTGTCAGATATTAACATTGTGCCCCATTTATTTTATATTCTTTTTAAGAAATAAACCATAGTAGAGACCCTTGAAAGTCTTATGGAAACCTCTTCCCTCCTTCCCTCTCCAGAATTGATTGCCATCCTGAATTTAGGTTTTATCATTTCCCTGTTTTTATTCTTTTGCTCAGTGTGTGTAAGTCTTAAAAATATGTAGTTTGTTCTTACTTCAAAGTTTTCTGTGAATGGAGTCCTATAGCATGTGTCATGCTGCAGCTTGTGTTTTCACACTCAACTTCAGGTCTCAGATTTAGCCTTGATCCTGCAGCTGTTGTCCCACTTGCCCTAATGTGTGATACAGCACCCTATGCAGACACCTCCTTTTGTTTATTTATCCTTCTTGATGGATGTCGAGATGTTCCCAGTGTCTTGACAGTGAATATTCTTGTACGATTGTCCTTTGCACATGTGTTTCATGAGGATGCCACCTAGTAGTGGAATTGCTGGGTTGTTGGATATGTGCACTCGATCTTAAATGAAATGAAATGGAATGAAATGAAATGAAATAGAGACAGGATCTCACTTTGTTGCCCAGGCTGGTCTCAAACTACTGGGTTAAAGCGATCCTCCTGCCTTGGCCTCCTGAAGTGCTGGGATTACAGGTGTGAGCCACCGTGCCTGGCCCACTCAATCTTTTAAAGTTATTTAGTTTATTTATAAAGGCAGTGCTACTTGATCAAGAAATGATGGTAAGGCTGCGTGCAGTGGCTCACACCTATAATCCCAGCACTTTGGGAAGCCCAGGCAGGCGGATCACCTGAGGTCAGGAGTTTGAGACCAGCCTGGCCAATATGGTGAAACCCCGTCTCTACTAAAAATACAAAAATTAGCTGGGCATGGTGGCTTACACCTGTAATCCCAGCTACTCGGGAGGCTGAGGCAAGAAAATCTCTTGAACCTGGGAGGCAGAGGTTGCAGTGAGCCCAGGTAGTGCCACTGTACTCCAGCCTGGGCAAGGGTGTGCCCCTCTCTCTAAAAAAAAAAAAAAAAAAAAAGATGGCAATACATAATTTTAGAAAAAATAATAATTACTCACATTTTCTGAGTACTCTTGTGCTTTCCATAATCTTAGTCGTTTTTCACAAAAACCGTGGGAGGTAAGTACTGTCATTCCCATTTCCTTGATGAGGAAACGGAGACTCATAGAGGGCATGGAACATTCCCAAGGTTATCCAGCAAGTAATAGCTGCAGCTTGGGTCTAGGGTTGTCTGCTTTCAGAACTCTTGCAGGCCACACTGCATTAGGTCATGCTACATCACTCCATGACACATTTATGTGCAGCTAAGGGAGACTTTTTGGAAGGAGAGTCACAATCATTTTTGCCATTTAGAAAGATCACGTCGGAAGCAACAGATCCCCACGGACAGATTATTTTACTCATTGAGCCAAAGTTCCCCTCAGTGCTGGAGCAGGGATTAAAATCCAGCTCTGACTGCAGTTGGCTTCCTGAGCGACCGCTCCGCCGCCTCACCCACCCCACACCTACCTCACCCTGACTGGGATGGAGGTAGGAGGATTTTCTGTTCTCAGTGGGAACTGAGGGTCTCCTAGCTCTACCCAGATCTGCCCATTGGCACAGAAGTAGTAGTACAAGCCAACTATAGTAGAGAAGTGGGAGGGGAGGGGGAGAGTGGGGGTGGCTCTGGGCTACCTGACACCCCCTCCCACCCCCTAGCTCCCTTCTCATTCGGGCCTCAAGTGTGGGTGGGATCTGAATGAGAGAGCTGCCAGCACTGTGCCAGAGCTCTTAGCATTGGTCACCAGTTCTGCTCCATCCAGCCCAGCACCTCTTCTCCCCATCTCTCTCCTCGGTTCCCCAACACACAGTGGAGAGGCCACCATCAGTGCAGGAATAGATAGATGTTACCTGGGCCAGGCAAGGTGTCCCAGGGAAAGAAAGGTCTTGGAGACGAAGGGGCAGCCTGTGGAGAAATGGGGGCCTCAGTCTCAGTCAGGTGAGGGGAAAGGTTTGGCGCTGTTGCTTCCACAGAATGCATTTTTGTCTTCTCCCAGGCTCCTGAGAGGAGCCTGACTGCGTACCTGTCTTCACTGCCTGTCCTTGCCTTATCTGTCAGAGGCAGATAAGGGTGCCTGCTGACAGGACTGAGTGAAATAATGCAGTCATCAATTTAGATAACTTGAAGTGGTAATCTCTTTGTGGCAATGGTGGTTGTTAATGCTATTATTAAGTCAAATGGGGCGTGTGTCTCCAGCCTTCCTGAGCTCTCTAGCCTCCTCAGCCTCACCCCTCCATTTAGCTGGCCTTCCAGAGCCTCTGTCTTCTAAGCCCTTCCAGAACACTTGTACCTCCTAACTGTGATGTCATGCCTCCAACCCTGTGTGTGTGCTGTTTCCCCTTCTTAGACTTCTTTCTCCATCTTGTTCTCAGTTTGATGGGATTTTCCTTGATGCCATCCTCCTTCCATGACGCCATCCTCCTTCCACTCAGCCTCCTCAGTGCCCCAGGCTGAGTTAGAGGTGTCTTCTGGGCCCCTTTGGCCCCCAGTGATTCCCATTATCACAGCCCTGAGCACTGTGGCGGTCGCTGCCCTGTCTGCATCTGTCTCCTGTAGGCTGTGAGCTCCTGAAGAGGCAGGTCTAGATCTGTGTCCACTCTGTGTCTCCAGAGCTCAGTCCTATGCATAGCCTAGAGCATGAGATTCATGGGTGCTTGTGATAGGGAAGGAGGGAGGAAATCAGCCCAGGGCTCAGCTTACCCGCAGTCTGGGGGAGGTCACCGCAGACAGCCTCATCCCAGTTAAGCAGAAGAGGTGCCGGGGCTGCCGAGGGAAGGACTGTGCCCCTCTGCACTGACTGTCCATCCGGCCTGGATCTTTCTCTCCAGGTAGACCAAGCAGATGGGACCTCTCCCTCGGTGGGGGATGGAGGTGATAAGGGGTGCGTGTGTGTGCAGAAATGGGAGGCAGGCTCTTGGCTCTGAAATTGTTTAGCGGTTGCCATAAACCACAACAATGGGCTTGACTCCCTGGGGCTGAGCTGATGGGCACTGGCTCAGGCAGAAACTTGGGTTAGAACACATGCTTGGATGTGTGACCTTAGCCAAGTTACCTGTCCTCTGTGCCTCAGTTTCACCATCTGCAATGGTATGTAGGTGTGGGGGGTAATAATCCCATTTCACAGGGCATTTTGAGAGCAATTAGAGAGAATGCCAGTTAAACCCCCGGGCAGTAGATGCTCACTGCTGCTTCGTTGATTCATCCAACAGAGATGAATGGCTTGAACACCAGTCACTAGGCTATGCCCTGGGCACACAGACAGACGCCGTCCCAGCCTCTGAAGAGAGGGGCAGGGGCAGCATCAGGTGGGGCCTTTTAGGCCATGGAAAGGAACTTGGCCTTTACCCTAAGAGCAATGGGAAGCCAGGGAAGGATTTTAAGTCCAGAAGTGACATGGTTAGATTTGTTTTTTGTTTTTTTTTTAGATGGAATTTTGCTCTTGCCGGGGCTAGAGTGCAATGGCGCGATCTCTGCTCACCGCAACCTCCACCTCCCAGGTTCAAGCGATTCTCCTGCCTCAGCCTCCTGAGTAGCTGGGATTACAGGCATGTGCCACTATGCCCGGCTAATATTGTATTTTTAGTAGAGACAGGGTTTCTCCGTGTTGGTCAGGCTGGTCTCGAACTCCTGACCTCAGGTGATCCACCTGCCTCAGCCTCCAAAAGTGCTGGGATTACAAGCGTGAACCGCTGCGCCCAGCCAGATTTGAGTTTTAAAGACGTATCTTTGGCGATTATGGGAGAGACAGGTTAGGGGAAATAATGCTTCCAATGTTCTCTCTCAAAGAAACTACCTAGAGGCTGGGATGAGTTACAACAAACATCCTTTTAAAGTACATTCCTGGCCAGGTGCAGTGGCTCACGCCTGTGATCCCAGCACTTTGGGAGGCCAAGGCAGGTGGATTATCTGAGGTCAGGAGTTTGATACCAGCCTGGCGAACATGGTGAAACCTTGTCTCTACTGAAAATACAAAAAATTAGTTGGGCGTGGTCGTGGGTGCCTGTCATCCCAGCTACTTGGGAGGCTGAGGCAGGAGAATAGCTTGAACCTGGGAGGAGGAGATTGCTGTGAGTTGAGATCACACCACTGCTCTCCAGTCTGGGCAACAGAGCGACACCCTGTCCTCAAAAAATAAATAAATAAAAATAATAATTAAGTACATTCTTGAGCTCCCGCAGAAGTAACAGAAACACCCTCCAGTCAAGAGTGAAGAGAGAACTGAAGTCAGGCTGGCAAACAAGATGAAGCCACGGCAACCTTAGGCTGTTTACACATTTCAGAAATCTAAAGCCAGGAGTTTCAATGGCCACTCAACAGATGGGAAAGAAGGTCTTGGGCCTACACAGTTACAGTTTGAGGAGTTGGAACTGGGCATCCCCCGACTCAACACATAAATCTGGGACCCTCCGAGGACTGCAGCCTCAGTGAATAGGAAGATTGGCTAGAAGAAAGGTCCGCCCTCACCAGCAAAGGCAGACAGCATTTCCGGTGGGAAAAAAAAAGACTCCCTAAAAAATTATAAATACGGGTCTGCCATCACACAAACTTTGGGTTTGATGGCACACCACTACCTTTGTGGTCCTGGAAACCATAAACTTAAAAAAGTAACTTAAATGGTCTCAGGGTGGTAGTTCCCCCGGGAACCTGGCCAAAGTCAATGAAAAATCCTTCCTGGAGCAATCCCACAGTCCCTTTGGATCTCTCAGACGTGAATTTGTAATATGATTGCAAAACACACAGGGAAATCAGCCAGTGTGAGCAGCAGGCACCAGAAACAAAAAAGAGCAGAATTAGTTTCCCTGGTAGTCTAAAATGCTGGAATTATGAGATATAGAATAAATAATTAAGTTTAAAATGTATAAACGAATTGAAGATGGACTTGAGGCAGGGAACATACTACTACCCCAAATAACTAAAATTTGAAAAAGAACCAAGTGGAATTTCACAAAATGAAAAATACAATCATTGAAATGAAAAATTCAGTAGACAGGATAAGTAGCAGGACAGACACACCTAATGATTGAGAGAGCTGGTGAAATGAAAGAAATTACTCAGGATCTAACAGAGGGTCCAAGAGATAGTATGGAAGTTAGTTAAGAGACGTGAAATATGGAATATAAAGGTCTAACAGAGAAGAGAGAAGAAGGTGGAAAGAGTGGAATGGAGAGTGTTCCGACAGACCTGGGTAAAGATGGTGCTGGCCTAGACCAGAAGGTATTGGGCATAGAAGGGGTTGATTGAGAGATGTTAGGAAGTAGTCTGTGACTTATACCTGTAATCCCAGCACTTTGGGAGGATGAGGTGGGAGGATCACTTGAACCCAGGAGTTTGAGACCAGCCTGGGCAACATATGAGACCCCATCTCTGTAAAAATTCTTAAAAGAAAAAAAAAAAAAAGTTAAGAAGTAGAATTGATGGGGTTTAGTGATGGAGGGGATGCAGAGGCCAGAGAAGGGATGTGGCAAAGATGATTATCAGATTTTTGGCTTGAGGAATTGGGTAGAAGAGTGTCTCTTATTAAAATGGCAGACAGGCATGGTATCTCACACATGTAATCCTAACACTTTTGGAGGCTGAGGCAAGAGGATCACTTGAACCCAGGAGTTCATTGAGACCAGCCTGGGCAACATGGTAAGATCCCATATCTACCAAAAACAAAAAAAGAAAGGCAAAGACTGGGGGAGAACAGATTTGGGAGAATGAACAGGAGTTCAGTTTTGAAAAAGGCATGTTTCAGTTTGCCTGGAAAGATCTGCTGATGCATCTCAGAGCAGGAGACTTAAGAGCTGGGCCTTAAGGTATATGTAGGAGTTACCTGGTGGAAAGGGAATTTCTTTTAACTAACTTTTGGGAAATAGGACTTCCCTTCAGGGAGAGCATCAGGCCCCTTTCTGGAACATTCTTTCACTCAAAGGAGGCCCCTTAAGAAAAGGCATTATCAAAACATCAAATAGACAGGGTTCTGGGATCTCTTAGTTCCATCTCTCATTTTTGTATGGGAAAGCTGAGACCCAGAAAAGTCAGGGTTTTGCTTTCCTAGCCTTAGACTCTTCATTCATTCATTCATTCATTCATTCATTCACTTAACAGATATTTATTAAAAGCCATTTTGTCCCGGATACTAGGTGCTGGGGATACAGCAGTTAAAGATTCTTGCTTCCTGGAAGTTTATAGTTTAGTGGAGGGAGACAGACAATAAACACAAAAATAAGAAAAACATATCATGTCAGAGGGTGGTAAAAGCTACAGGGAAACGTAAGGACTGGAAAGGGTTCAGGTATTCTGGAGGGGCCACTGGCAAAGTGAATTTGAAAGTCCCTGGGCCTCTCGTATGGGGCTGCTGACCCTCGAAGCCCATTGTGACAACGTCTGGGATTCTAGAGTCCAGGCCTGGGGGAGGGAGGAGGCCTGGAGAAGGAGGAGGGAAAAAGGGGCTGTGGGATTTAGTGGGTGGGCTGCACCCCCCCGGGGGGCAGCGGAGCCCAATGGGTCAGAAGGGCCACAAAGACTCCCTTTACCCTTGTGGAGGGTAAGATCATTTATTCCTGAGGCGTCTTTGCTCCTTGCCCTTGCCCCCTCCCCCACCTCCATCAGATCTCAGATGACATTCCCTTCTGCTCCCCCTCCCACCCTTGGGAACACCAAGAGGTGGGTCCGAATTGTTCCTGCGTCTCACTACAGAGTGGCAGCCTGGAGGAGCTCGTGACAGGCACCCAAGGCTGGCCAGGGAGACCGAGTAGGCCCTGTGAGGCTCTGTCCCAGTCAGGAGAGGCTGGAGGGCTGGAGGGCCCCTGTGTCATGCCCCGCGTCTCTTCCCCCAGGACTCCTGAGAGCAGCCTCCACGAGGCCCTGGACCAGTGCATGACCGCCCTGGACCTTTTCCTCACCAACCAGTTCTCAGAAGCACTCAGCTACCTCAAACCCAGGTGAGGCTCAAGCCCCGGTTGGGGTAGGGGGTGTGCTTGACGGTCAGGGAGAACCAGAGGTCTTGTATGAGAGGAACTCTGTGTAACTAAATGCCTTCGGCTTTCTGGGTCACCAGGACCTCTGACAAGTCCCATAAAAATGGCTCAGGCTCCATTCCACAGCCTGCGTGTATCCAGGCCCTCTCCAAGGTCACTGTGACTTGCTTCTCCTTAGGCTCTTGAGGGTTCTTCACACTTCCTTATGTGTTCCCGCATAAGGAGTTTCTTCCTCGCCAGCTCTCACACGACCCTTTGTTTATTTTTCCCCAAAGCACTAAAGACTAGGTTGCCTGATTTCCTGGGTGTTTTAGGGCAATAAAGAGGGCTGCTCCCTCGACCATTTCCTTGAATGCTCACGGCCATGTTTCTGTAAATACAAATCAATAATGTGCATATACTCCTTTTTCTTTACTTATCACTTTTTCTCAGTTTTAAAAATTGAGATATAATTCAGATACCATAAAACTCACCCTTTCTTACCACTTTAAAACATTTATTGGGCTGGGCATGGTGGCTCACGCCTATAATCCCAGCAGTTTGGGAGGCCAAGGTGGGCAAATCACTTGAGGTCAGGAGTTGAAGACCAGCCTGGCTAACATGGTGAAACCCCATCTCTACCAAAAATATAAAAAATTAGCTGGGTGTGGTGGTGTGTGCCTGTAGTCCCAGCTACTCAGGAGGCTGAGGCAGGAGAATGGCATGAACCCAGGAGGCGGAGCTTGCAGTGAGCCGAGATCGCACCACTGCACTCCAGCCTGGACGACAGAGCCAGACTCTGTCTCAAAAAAAAAAAAAAAAAGAAAAGAAAGAAATAAACAATGTTTACCTTACTATACCTTTGTGATTAATGCTCATTGCAAAGAAAATCATGTGTGACACTGTTTCCTTCTAGAGTTAATAATTTTCTTGCTTTTCCCATTTTCCTAATTTGCTAAACATTTATCCTTAAGTCTTTGTAACCACTCCCATCAGATCATCCTATCGTGAGTTTTTCCCAAAATGCTGAAATCTATCAAGTAAACACTCAGTACCCCCCTCATTTTCCTGGAAACCTATCCTTGGGAGGACAGACATGTCTTCTGGCTCCTCCTGGCTGTTTCCTAGAGCTCCTTTGCATTTCTCCGGCTTCTTTGATTCCAGGTCTTTTCTCTCGTGTCCCCCTCGTTTGCCAGGGAATGTCCCATAGAAATTTCCTAAGAAAGGCTGGGTGCAGTGGCTCATGCCTGTAATCCCAGCACTTTGGGAGGCTGAGGTGGGTGGATCATTTGAGGTCAGAAGTTCAAGACCAGCCTGGCCAACGTGGTGAAACCTCGTCACTACTAAAAATACAAAGATTAGCTGGGCATGGCGGTGAGTGCCTGTAATGCCAGCTACTTGGGAGGCTGAGGCAGGAGGATCGCTTGAATTCAGGAGGTGGAGGTTGTAGTGAGCAGAGATTGCTCCATTGCACTCCAGCCTAGGTGACAGAGTGAGACTCTGTCTGGGGGGGGAAAAAAAAAAGAAATTTTCTAAGAAAGACTTGTATAAATATATTTTTTTCCCTAAGAATTTTGAATACCTTGCTTCAGTGTTCTAGCATTTACTGTAGCTGTGAGAACCCTAATTCTTCTTACTTACTCCTTCTCCAGAAAGGTTTAGGATTGGCTCTTGTATTTCTGAAAATCTGGAATTTTACCGCGATGTGTGGCAGTGAAGTCTTTTTTATTCTGGATCGTTATGCGGGCTCTCAGTTCTGGGAAATGCTCTTGTACGATAGTTCCATCTTATTTCCCTTTCCTGGGCTTTCTTTAACGTGCCTTTTGGACCTCCTAGGTCAGTCCTCTTCTGAGCCTCTTCCCTCTCCCTCTTGTTTTTCCCATTGCTTTATCTTTTTTTTCCGTCTGATTTTTGGAAGATTTCCTCACCCTTCTCATTAATTCCTGCTGTTGACTTCTTTATCTCTGTAAACATATGATTAATTTCCTGGCATTCTTTATTCTCTGAATGTTCTTTTTTCCCTAAAACATCTTCTTCTTGGTTTATGGTGTACTAACTTCTTTATATCTATATTTGGAATATGAGGCCCTTAGGACAGTGCCTGGCATGTATTAAGTATCTAATAAAGTATTTATTGTTATAGTCACAGAATATTATTTCTGTTTAAAATATTTCATTCTTTTCCTGCATAACTTGGCTTTCTCCGTGTTCCTGGAGTCTGTTTAATGGGGGAATTCTCTTCTCATGGGGTGCTTTCTTCAAAAACCCAGCCATCCCCGGCTGTCTGTCTAGTCCTGTTTAAGAATGAGCTCATGCGAAGGCCAGCCGGGAGGTCTGTGCCAAGCTGCCTTGTAGTTGGTGGAGTTGGCTTTGGATGACCTGGCCCCCAGATGTCAGCACCCGGGATGACTTGGCTTCTCCAGAGAGGAATCTTCCATTTCTCAGCCTGGACAGAGAGCCTTAGCCGCCTAAATTGGGAGACTAGGGGCTGAGGTCTAATCATCTCTGCCACCTACTACCCCTAGTCCGCCTCTTTTCAGCTCCAACTTGTCCCCTGCACCCAAGCCCCAAGGAAAAGTGAATGCTGAGGCCGGGGGACTGGTTTCCACAAGTCCCCAGGCCTGACCTGTTCAGTTTCTGTAGACATGATGGACCCATCTTTCTCCCTCTAGGGTCAGTGGCCCAGCTTTTGGGGTGGGGTGAGTGTTCCAGGGCATGGGGCAGTGTCCACACCTCACTCCCACCCTCTGAGGGAACTTGGCTTGAGGGGGTCAGGCTGGGTGGGTCAGGGCCTGCAGCAAGAGTGTGGCCATGGCCTGAGGCAGGCCCAGCTGCAGCTTGCTCTGTCTTAGAATGTCCAGGTTCCCCTCTCAGTTTTCTTGGAAGGCTCCCCAGCTCCTGCTTCTCCCCTAGTCATTTCCTGTTGCTCACTCAAGCCTGGACCCCAGACCATAGCCACCCTCCTGCACTGGAAACCAGCTGCCCAGGACACAGCTGCTCAGCCTGTCCCATACCCCAAGCACGGACACTGGCCCTTCTCCTCACCCACTGAAGCCCCGATAAGGTCATGCCTCAGCCTACTCTAAACTGTCCTGTAGACTTGCGGCCAACAGAAGGGAGTCAAAACACTGGAGAAAATATTAAAACCAAAGACTGTGGCTGCGCCTGGGTCCTCGAGCTGTCCCTGCCACAAGGTCCCTGAAAGGGCTTTTCCCTCTATGGCCCCCTCACCTCAGGAGGGCATTCTAATAGGAGTTCTGTAGCTCTCAGGACCCCCAGAGGAAACCCTCGTCCTAACAGAGACACCCCAGGAATCCAGTCTTCCCATGGAGCCACCTGTTACCTCACGTGGGAAGCAGTGCAGCATCTGTTTCTTAGCCCCTGCCTTATTCCAGAAAAGGATCCTTTCTTTCTTTTTTCTTTCTTTTCTTTCTTTCCTTTTCTTTCTTTCTCTTTCTTTCTTTCTCTTTCTTTCTTTTTCTTTCTTTCTTTCTTTCTTTCTTTCTTTCTTTCTTTCTTTCTTTCTTTTCTTTTCTTTTCTTTTCTTTCTTGTTTTTGAGACAGAGTGTTGCTCTGTCACTCAGGCTGGAGTGCAGTGGTATGATCTCAGCTCACTGCAACCTCCACCTCCTGGGTTCAAGCGATTCTCCTGCCTCAGCCTCCCGGGTAGCTGGGATTGCAGGTGCATGCCACCATGCCCGGCTAATTTTTTATATTTTTAGTAGAGATGGGGTTTCACAATTTTGGCCAGGCTGGCCTTGAACTCCTGACCTCAGGTGATCCCCCCGCCTTGGCCTCCCACAGTGCTGGGATTACAGGCATCAGCCACCACACCAGGCCCTTTCTTTCTGAGTTTAACAGTTTTCCTCCAGATAGTAGTGTCAGTAGCACACTACCCCCATACCACCTGTGACAACCCAAAATATCTCCAGAAATTGCCACATGTCCTCACGTTGGGAGTGGGGATACCCTGGCACTTCCAGTGAGAACCACGGGTCTAGAGAAAATAATTCTTGCTGGAAAACAGCCTCCCTTCCTCACTGATGGCCACCGAAGCTTCAGAAGATGTTGGGCACAGTGTCATTTGCTGTTCTTCACTGAACACGCATTGTCTTGTTTAATTGTCCTGGTCCTGTGCAGTGGGGGACGGTGCTCCTCTTTCGCTCCGAGTGGGGCATCTGGGCTTTCCTAGCTCCCTTCCCCGCCTCGCCTCTGCTTTCCATAAGTCATGCCTTTGAGTAGCATCGTCTCTGCTTCTAGCATATTTCACTTAGCACTGAGTCTGACCTGACACACTGTCTCTAGGACATGGAGGCTACTGCTTTTGGCTTTCTTGAATTATATGATCGTGGTTAATAAACGGCAGAGTGGGATTCGGATCCAGGTCCTCCAGCTGCACAAACCACACACGGAGTGCTGTGTGTGTGGTTTGCCCTCCCCCTTGGGTTGGCGGCATTTACCTTGGGCAGGGCCTCACATCTGCCTCCCCCAAACCACGAGGAGTGAAGGAGGTGGAAAGGGTGCATCGGGGGCGTGTGTGGGGGTGCAACAAGTTCAGGGTATGCCCTTGAGCGTTCTGGAGTTTCTCTGAGGGAAGAGGTAAGGTCACCTGCCAAAAGTGAGGGGCCAGGTGGTGGTGCAGGGGTAACGAGGAGAGGGGAAAAGGTGTTTCTGGACAGGATGCCGGGCCTGGCTGAGGCTGTCTGTGTAGGGGGCAGCTTTCTCCAGCATTGCTCAGTGGCAGTGTGGAGAAAGTGGGCAGTTGCGTGGCTCCTGAGCCCCATGGGCTCCTAGCTGGGTTCAGCAGGTTGGCAGACTTGGCATTGAGTATGTTGACAAGAGAGAGAGACTGGTATGAGGACACTGGGCTAAGCAGTCAGGAAGAGGGGACAGACTGGAGGAGGGAGGATGGGCAGTGGGAGTGATGGGCCAGTACAGGCAGGTCAGGAGGCTTAGAGCTGGGAAGGTGGCGGCATCCTATAAGACTCCAGAAGCAGAGCCATTCTGTGTGATGAAGACAAGGTCACGCTGCAACTCAAAGGATGGAGATGGTTGGGCAACTGTCACTGGTTCATTCAGCAACAGCCTTTGAGTGCCCTCCTGGGCCCGGCAGTGAGCTGGGTGCTGGTGCTCCATTACTGAGCAAGATGTGGGCTGTTCTCAGGGTCCAGCAGGGAAATGGTGAAACAAGCAGTAAGGGGTGCTGAGAACTACCCAGGGACCCCACTTCATGTGGGAAAGGAGCTGGTCAGGAGGACTGCATCATTCCCTGGGGATCATTGCCAAATAGAAATTCAGGGTCATTTGTTCAAATATTATTAAAATTTAAAGACAGTGACAGCAGAGAATTAAACCAAACATGGGCCCTTTTTAGGCACAGGCCCTGTGCAACGGCATAGACCACACACCCATGAAGCTGCCCTGGAAGGCTTCCTGGAAAAAGTGACATTTACACTGAGATGGACTGGATGAGAAGGACTCAGCCAGATAGAGGGGGCGTTTCTAGGCGTAAGGAACTGCCTATGCAAAGACTGGGCGGTGAGTGAGGGTCTGGTGTATCTGAGAGATGGAGACACTCACCCTGGAGTGGGAGGAACTGAGGCAGATCCCTGAAGGAAGAGGGCAGGGTGATGGACAGCTGACTGGGGATTGGGAGTCCATAGAAGCAACTTGGGCTGGAGAGGAAGTAGAGTCTGAAAGGACCAGAAAGTGGAGTAGGGGGAGCTTCAGTGAGCATGAAGGGGCAGAGACTTGGAGAGGTCAAGGGCCTGCCTCTGCCTCCCAGTGCCCTCCCTATCCTGACAGCTGGTCTGGGCCCAAGAAGGTGGGACCCCAGTAGACATGTCCCAGAGTGAGGGGACAGCTCAGGAATGAGCCGACTAACGGCCTGGATGATATATATGCAAATAAGAACTTGGGTACAAGCTAAACTTGGAGTGGCTGAGGTTGGAGGGTTGTCATACCTCTGTACCCCATTTCCGAGTTCAGACTAGAGTTGGGGACTTCCAGGAGGTAGGCTGGGGAGGGGCTAGTATTCTTAGCCACAGACGCCTGTTGGGGCCCTGGGCCTCAGACTAGAAATTCCACTTTGTCTGCCAGCTGCCCTGGGGGAGCTGTCCCTCCTTCTGGGCCCAGCACCAGACAAGGTTCCACAGGTGGGGCTGGGCAGGTGGTGCTGAGTCCCAGGCCTCAGACCTGCAGTGGGAGAGGAAGAGAGAGACAAGGGCTTGAGAGATGGAGAGGCCTGAGGGCTGGGGGTGTTATCTGGGGGATGGGTCTGTGTGCTGCCAGGGAAGCCCCTCCTCAAGGAGAAGGTTTTTATGCAGGGAAGTGGCACAGGACATGGAGGGACTCATTTACTGAGCTTTGGTGCAGTGGCCCCTGGCCTGGGTATTATTCTATTTAAGCCATGCAAAAACCCGTGGGGGAGAAGAGTTACGGTTTTCCTTCTGCAGGGAAAAACCTGAGGCTGAGGGAGGCTATGAGACATGAGACATGCCAGGTCTTACAGCTGGTAGCTGGCAAAGCTGAGACTCCAACCTGTGTCTGAGAGGCTCTGAAGCCTGCTTCTAGCCCCAGCTCTGGGTAGCCTGCTCCTCTCCACAAGCCACTGCCTGCAGATTAAGCAGTCCTGGCAAAGGCCTGGGAGCATCCAGAGAGTGCCCCTGGCTGGCAAGTGGTGGAGCAGCCTTGGTTTCCTGCCTTTGACCCTCAGGGATCACAGGAGTGTCACCCAGAAGTAGCTTAATTTACGAGTGTTTTATGAACAGGAAAAGGGGTAAAGTCACATGATTTCACAACCAGCCTGTAAACCTTAGTCATCTCTCTTTCCTCTGAAGTTCCCAGCATAAACCTGGCACTGAGGAGCTTTATAAATAATTCACAAGGAGACCTGGGGAAGGAAGTAAAGGCGCTCCCAGTCAGTCCCACAGGCTTACAGGGACCCAGGCAGGCTGGCATTATCGTCCCCATTTTGCAGAAGCAGAAATCTAGGCCCAGACATGTTAAGTGGCTCCCTCCACATACAGAGAGGACCTGGCGTTGTTCGCATCCCTCCTTGCCTGTTGCCCTCTCCATGTGATGGACTAAATGCCACCCCCTGCCCCCAACACACCCTTCAGCTGAGGAGCCTGGGGCGGTGGAGGAGCAGGGAGCCCGGAGACTCCTGAGGCCACCTTGGCTCAGCCCTGACATCAGTGCTGAGGACAGAGATGAATCACACACAAGCTCTGTCCTCGAGGTGCCCAATCTGGGGAGAGCTGAGCCTATGCTGATGTCAGTTCAGTATGACCCGTACCTCAGTTACAGATGGAGTCCCTGAGGAGGAGGCCTGGATTCCCAGGGCTCTGGGAGGCATTTGAGGGCCTTGACAGATATGTCAGGAGATGTAGAGGAGGGGTGTTTCTTTCTTTTTTAAAAAAAATTATTATTACTTTTTAGAGACAGGATCTCACTATGTTACTCAGCCTGGTCTCAAACTCCTGGGCTCAAACAATCCTCCCGCCTTGCCCTCCTAGAGTCCTGGGATTACAGGCATGTGCCACCACACCTGGCCGAGGAAGGGCATTGCAATCTGAGGGAACAGCCTGGGCAAAGGCCTGGAGGAGGAAAATGTGGGATTTTCTAATGGAAGGTCTGTGTGGTTCAGTGTGGCTGGGGGTGCAATCTTGAATGTGACCAGATGGGAGTGGGTGGGGAACAGAAGCGTCAAGAGGGCTGGAGAGGTGGGCAGGGCTGACATCTTGTGGAGCTTCAGCCCCGGCAGGATCTCCTAGGATGTGGGAGCCATGGGAAGGTGTAACTATTGGGCACCATGATCAGATGAGGAGAGGGAGTGGGAAGAGGCAGCAGTGACTAGAGAGGAGGTCCAGGGAAGTGGGGTTGAGGGCGGCCCAGGGGTGGGGTTTGGGCTAAACAGGATCTCACAGACAGGACTTGGGCTCAGCCTACAGGAGGTGGGGGCAGAAGGCAAGAGGGTGGCACTGGGTGCAGGGAAGGGCAGCCTCAGGCCGACACGCACTAAAGCCTTTCTCAGTGCTCATGGCAGCTATGCTGCTGCCACCCCTACTGAGCCGATGAGGAACTGAGGCTCAAATCTGGTAGATCACTTAGGGCCACTCAGCAGGAAGAAGGCAAGCTGGAAACAGAATCTGAGGTCTTTTGAGTAGCAGCGAGCAGATCAGACCTGGCCAAGGACCTCCCCGTGCCTGGACGTCCGGTCCCCTTGCCTCACTGCAGAATGGAGGAGGACAGAGATGAGCTGCCCAGGGCCAGCTGCCTCTGGGGCTCTGTGAGGTGGTGCTCTCAATGTCCCTTCTCTTTGGCAGAACCAAGGAAAGCATGTACCACTCACTGACGTATGCCACCATCCTGGAGATGCAGGCCATGATGACCTTTGACCCTCAGGACATCCTGCTCGCCGGCAACATGATGAAGGAGGCACAGATGCTGTGTCAGAGGTTGGGGGCGTTGGGGGCAGGGATCAGAGGTTGGGAGGCCCACCCTTCTGTCACCTTGGCCCATCCCAGTGCCTAACATGCCACTATTCGAACTGCTGCTTTTGGCTAAGAGGTTGTGTCTGCAGGTGCTAAGAGCCGTCCCTGTTGGCCCTGCCTCAGGAGCTATGTTGTCTGAGCCAGTCACTGGGCAGCTTTCAGGGACCAGGGTGACAGAGTAGAGGAGGAGGCACCACAACTTGAGTGGGCAGGAGGGTAGGCCAAGCTGGGCACGAGGAGACATTAAGGAGAGGAACCCAAATGTGGCACAGGTTGGGAGCTGCCAGGAGCAGCATCACCTGGCCTGGACGCGGGTTGACCAGGGGCTGCTGTTTAGCCTCAGCCCCAGGACTGATCAGGTGGTAACTGTCCCATTTTATCAGTGAAGACACTGAGCCTCAGAGAAGTTAAGTGACTGTTTTTGCCAGAATATCAAACCTCTTCTGCCTGACCCCAAAGTCTGTGTTCTTTCTGTTAGCTCTGTCTCTCTAGGAATGTTCTAGAGTGTAGCAGAGAGGGACAGAGACAAGTGTGGCCTCTCTCTAATCCTCACCTGAGGCCCCTCTTTTTCCTCTTCAGGCACCGGAGGAAGTCTTCTGTAACAGATTCCTTCAGCAGCCTGGTGAACCGCCCCACACTGGGCCAATTCACTGAAGGTGTGGCATCCAGGACGTCCTCTCAACCATGTTAAGCCCAGGCGGCCAGCTCTAGGCCCAGGAAGGGGCAGTTATCCTCCCTGTCATCGCCTAGGGGGCCAGGCCCTGGGGTCCATGCCAGGACACACATGGGTCAGACCTGGGGCCTTTTGAGGCCTGGCTCTCTAGTGAGGGTGTGGGGGGCAGGTGAGACCCACTTATGTGATAGCACTACTGGCTGAGAACCTGCAAGTCAAGAAAAGGGAAAGCTGTCCAAGGCCAGGGCTCTGCTCCTCAGGCCCACGGGTGTTTAGAGTTGTATGTGCAGTTGAGTTTACTGATTTAATTATCCTGGTGATCACATGGGCCCCAGAGGGGAATGTGGTGTCAGCAGCTGAGTCATTGGGACAACATGGTGTGGGCTGTCATGGTCCATCCAGGTCTTTGTGCCATGACCACATGCAGCTGTCCTGGAGCAGTGGCTGACCACAAGCAGTGAGGGGCTCTGCAGCGTAGGAGAAAGTGGCCTTACCCTCCTCAAGAGCCCTGGAAGGTTCTAGCGCCCCACAATGCATCTGATGTTGCTGGGTGCACAGCACCTACAGTGGTGCTTGGAGAACAAGACTAGGCGACCTTCTTGGGGAGGGTGTGAGCTAGCTTCTAGGGACAGTGACGAACACTCTGAAGCACTGGGTGATGAGGTAGGGGACAGGAGAGGTGCTGACACAGGTTCCCTTTGCTTTTGGGAAAGTAGGGGTGTGAGGACTCGTCCCAGGCCTCCTGATTAGAGTCCCAGGAGGCCACGGGGCTTTGGTTTTCTCCCCACAGAGGAAATCCACGCTGAGGTCTGCTATGCAGAGTGCCTGCTGCAGCGAGCAGCCCTGACCTTCCTGCAGGTAGGGACCCCCACTTGTACAAGGAGGCTGGGATTTCAGAAGATCAATTTCCACATCCAACCACAACCCATCCCCTAGAGCAACTGTGACCCATCCCCCATAGTAACCACGACCCCTCCCCTGTAGCAATCGTGACCCCTCCCCTGTAGCAATCGTGACCCATCCTTCACACTCCTGCCCCTGGCAGGGCTCAAAGGGAAGTGATGGGCATCACGTCCTCACACCCCTAGCACATGCGCTCCCACCGTTACCAGGATGCTATTTCCACTGTGTGGCTGCTGCATTTCCTGTTAAGGGTCCTGTGGGGGTGATAGGCATTGTCTCAAAGCCTGTTTTCCATGTGATTCATTCAACAAGTTCTGTAGCACCTGTGATGTACCAGACTTTTTGCACACGGTACAGGTATGTAGTTTCTACATACCTTACACACATTACAGTTTGTTTTTGCTAATATTTACATTTGTTATTTAATCTTCACCACAGAGGCCTGTGAAGGGGAGACTGAGAGGAAAGGGGTCACTTTCCCAAGGTCACATGATTAGCAAATGATGAGCAGGGATTTGAACCTAGGTCTGATGAAGTTGGAGCCCAGGTCTCCTCACCACAGAGTGGGAATGATGAGAATGATCACTGCATGCTTTTGCCTGAAAGCCTGGGTTATAATGAGAACATATCAGCATCATTATATATGTGTATTTAGCAGAAGAGGGACATTTTAGTGTTGGGGTGCTGGTTAATTTCATAACTTTTTTTTCTATCTTTTTGACCTGGGGAGATTAGAATTGGATTAATCCTAATCCTTGCTTTAGGATTCACTGTAATGATTGCACCATAAACGACATTTTGTTTGTTTATTACATTTTTACAAATAATGAACACCCATCAACACCACACCCAACTGGAGGACAGAACACTGGCAATAACTCTCCTCACCCTGGGACTCCTCCTCACCCTGTCCATGCACCCAGCAGGGGAATCACTACTAGAGTATTATGTTTATTGTCCCCTACCCTTTCCTTTTTTTTTTTTTTTTTTTTGAGACGGAGTCTCGCTCTGTCGCCCAGGCTGGAGTGCAGTGGTGTGATCTCAGCTCACTGTAACCTCCGCCTCCTGGGTTCAAGCGATTCTCCCGCCTCAGCCTCTGGCTAATTTTTGTATTTTTGTATTTTTAGTAGAGATGGAGTTTCACCACGTTGGCCAGGCTGGTCTCGAACTCCTGACCTCAAGTGATGCGCCCACCTCAGCCCTACCCTATTTTTTTTTTAAAATCGCTTTCTCAGCTTTGTACTCATGTCTGAACAGCATATGGTGATGTTTCATTTGCTTTTGAGCTTCCTAAGTGGTGTGGGTCTTGCTTTCTTCCCTCGGCCTTATGTGACTGTGTGTTATTCTCTTGCCTGAACACACCGCAGTTTGTTTATCTGTCCTTCTGCTGGTGGCCATTTGGGCTGTTTCTGTTTCTTGGCTATCATGAACTTCCACAATCCTTGTCCATCCGTTTTCCATTGGGTGTAAACAGTGAATAGAGCTGCTGGCGGCTATAGGCAAAGGAAGTTTTACATTTAAAAATGTGATAAATACCTGCTTGTTGTAAAAACCACAAACAATCCAAAAACAAGCATCCCCTCTCCTTTCTCGCAGTCCCTCCACCTAGAGGGAGATACTGTTAACCATTGGGCGTGGCCCCTCCAGGCCTCTCTCCAAGCACAGAGTACGTGTACCTGTGAGGCTGGTCCAACCCTGGGCATTTTAGAGGTTTTGTTGAGCCAAAGAGCAGGGAGGCCTGGTTTGGCTGATCTCTGACCTCATCCCCCAAGGGTTCCTCACAGGGAGGGGCAGTCAGGCCCAGAGCCTTGCATGATCCCTCTCAGCCTGCGGCTGCCCACCTGGGCCAGGTGGTCAGCATCTTTTCCTCCTGCAGGACGAGAACATGGTGAGCTTCATCAAAGGTGGCATCAAAGTTCGAAACAGCTACCAGACTTACAAGTGAGTGGGGCTGGCCATCCGCTTGTGGAGACTCTGGGTCACAGCCTCTGCTGTACTGTTCCCTTCAGGCGGCTTTGTGGGAGGAGAAGAGTACTAAACAAGGCCAGAACCTAGACTGTTGATGCAAGCCAATTTCCATGCCCTCAGGACCTCAGTCTCCTGAAATCATATTCCCCTGGCTTTCTGGCTGTGTCTCTTCCCTTTGGTCCCTTGAGTGCTTACTCCCTGCCTGACCCTCTGCTGGGGAAAATAAGACACAGATTCTGCACAGGCTGGTCTGGTGGGGGCAGGGAGATAGCCACACGAACAGCCATTTTGGGAACAGCAGCAGAACTCCCACAGATCTGTTAAGGCCCAGTCCAAATGCCACTTTCCCCATGAAGGCTTCTTTAACTCTAGTACACAGGAAAGGTATACACACACACACATGCACGTGTGGACACGCTCTCTGCAGGCCAAAATCACTTTCGTGCTATCTCTGGATCCCTGATATTCAAACTAGCCCAGGCTCAGGCCATGTTTATGAATGAAGATTCAGTCCAGAGCGTTTTTACCCAACATGGCTCCATAATCCCTTATCTATGGTTCCCACAGCAACAAAAGCTCTGAAAATCCAGTCCCCCACTCACCAAGTGTTGCATTAAAACTTATTTCCATTAAAAGTTGATTTGAGGCCGGACGCGGTGGCTAAAGCCTGTAATCCCCAGCACTTTGGGAGGCTGAGGCAGGCAGATCACCTGAGGTCAGGAGTTCGAGACCAGCCTGTCCAAACTGGTGAAACCTGTCTCTACTAAAAATACAAAAATTAGGTGGGCGTGGTGGCAGGCGCCTGTAATCCCAGCTACTTGGGAGGCTGAGGCAGAAGAATCACTTGAACCCGGGACGCGGAGGTTGCAGTGAACTGATATCACGCCACTGCATTCCAGCCTGGGTGACAGAGTGAGATATCGTCTCAAAAACAAAAACAAGGGGGGGTGGGGGCAAGAGTTTTAAAGAGAGTAGATAAGGTTTGAAATATGCAGAGGATTATGGAGAAATCACTATGGAAACAGCACAAGAGTGACTGGCAGTACGGAGAAGCCCAGCTGAAGCTGGTGATGATAAATTTACGGTGACACCAATCTTACTACACCTGCTCAGTAGTCCACAAGCACCACAGAGAAGGCAGATAATTTACTCCATGCTTTTTCCATCAGGCAAGAGAGACAGAAAAAATAATATTGCAAAGGGGGCTAAGGATAGACATGAAGCTATAGACCAAAAGACAGGGGAATAAAGTTTTACTTTTACAGGAGGAAAATAATTCATGGCGAGGGATATTGGGGATAGTTGCATAATAATGGAAATGTAGTTAATACCACTGAATTGTACACTGAAAATTGGTTAAGATATTAAATTTCATGATATGTATATTTTTCACAGTAAAAAAAAAATGGAAAAAAAGAGGAAAAGTAAAAAAGTCTTTTTTTTTTTTTGAGATGGAGTCTTGCTCTGTCGCCCAGGCTGGAGTGCAGTGGCACGGTCTCAGCTCATGGCAACCTCTGCCTTCCGGGTTCAAGCGATTCTTCTGCCTCAGCCTCCCAAATAGCTGGACTACAGATGTGCGCCACCCCACCTGGCTAATTTTTTGTATTTTTAGTAGAGATGGGGTTTCACCACATTGGCCAGGCTAGGCTGGTCTTGAACTCCTGACCTCAGGTGATCCGCCTGCCTCGGCCTCCCAAAGTGCTGGGATTACAGGTGTAAGCCACCGTGCCTGGCCTATTTATCATCTTTGTCTCCCCCATTTAATGTAGCTGTTTCCCTGCAGGGATATTGTGAACTTGTTACAAGGTATTGCGAGGGTATAATGTACCATATAGCATGTGGACATCACGTTACCTTGGGGACCTATGCTAGAAGTTTTCTAGAAAAACCAGACAAGTGCTCTGGCCCCAGCCTCCCTACCAGCTGCCAGAATGATGTCGCCAAAGCACACACCTTGTCAGGCCACCCCTTGCCAACTCCCAAGGCTCCTCTTGCTCTTAAAAGAAGTCCTGGGTTATTGCTGAGTCCTTCCTGGGAGTTCACCCCTGCCCTGCTTGCCACATCTCCCACTTCACTCTGCCTTAGGTCCTTGAGCCTTCCCCCAGTTCTTCAAATATGCTAAGGTGGTTCCTACCTCGGGGCCTTTGGACGTGCTGTTCTCTCTGTCAGAAACACTTTCTGCACTGAGCTTTCTGTACCAGATTTCAGCTCAAATGTCACCTCCTCAGAGAAGCCTTTCCTATCCCCAGACTAGGTCAGGTCCAAGGATTCTTCTCCTTGGAGCCTGCCATCACCCTCATAGTGATTTAATGGGGGGAGGGAGGGTCTGTCCCTTAAAGTGAGAATGCTGTGGGGGCAATGGCTTGGTGACTTGGTCCCTGCTGTCTTCCAGTGCCTGGCACAGAGAAGCCTCAAGCTTTCTAATTGAAAGCCTTCAAAATGCTGTCAGCCCAGGAAGGAGGCAGACACATCGTTAAAGCCTCTGTCCTGCCTCAGGTGGCTGGACTAGGGGCTCTGTGCAGTTGGTAACCAGGAGACATAGAGTTGAATTCCAACCAGGAGACTCCAGGAAGACTTCCTGAAGGAGGAGGTGTTTGGGCTAGCCCAGTGGTTTTCAGCTGGGGGTGACGTCCCCCTCTGAGACATTTGGCGATGTCTGGAGACATTCTGGTTGTCCAGCTGGGGAGAGGATGCTACTGGCATCTGGTGCTCAGGGGCCATGGATGCTGCTAAACATCCTAAGATGCCCAGAACAGCTCCCCTGCCACCCCCAGCAACAAAGAATTACCCATCCCAAAATGTCAGCAGTGCGGAGGCTGAGAAAACCTCTTTTAGACAGGATGTGGAGTACCAACAAATGTCCAGAAGCTGCCCATGGCAGAGTGTGCCAGGGCCCATATGGCTAAAATTCAGGGGTGAGGAGTGTGTTATCATGGTAGGAGATGGGATTCGAAATTCCTCAAATATCAGTTCTCAGGATCACCAGAACTGTATGAATCCACCACCAGGGAGTTTACCTGAGGCCCAGCTGGAAGGGGTCCCAGCCCCTACCCCCCACCCCCAGCAGTGGCTGAAACAGGACTTGGCATCTCTCTACAGGGAGCTGGACAGCCTTGTCCAGTCCTCACAATACTGCAAGGGTGAGAACCACCCGCACTTTGAAGGAGGAGTGAAGCTCGGTGTGGGGGCCTTCAACCTGGTGAGTGCTCCTCCCCCATTTCCACAGCACCTGGCTCGAGCTCAGTCTCCCCTTCTGTCCCTGACTCGTGTGGTCACTGCCAAGTGCCCCTGCACCTGACTGTGTGCTGGGCACCAGGATCCAGAGATGACCAGATGTGTGGCCAGCCTTCAGGGACTCACAGCTGGGGTGGGGGTGGAGTGGGCGCTGGAGCCAGCTCCAGAGTCCATCAGTGCATTTCTTCCCAAGTCGGGCCAGTAGCTTGAAATCCACTGTGGTAGAGCCTTCACAGCACCTGACCATGGCACACATAATAAATCAGTGCTTTCTCTGCCCTAGAGAGCTGCTGGTTAAACATTTACCAGTGGCAGGGAAGGAGACAGTCCTGAAACCAGCTGATGACTTAGAGGGGACAGAGAACTAAGTCTTCCTCCTGCATGGAGTCGGGGAAGGTTTCCTACGGGAGGGAGGGAGCATCTGTGCTGGCTCCTGAAGGATTCCTAGGAGTTTCCCAGCTGAGGAGGGGCTTTCAGGCAGAGGGATCAGGAAGTCTGGGAAAACTGCCTGATCAAGGGAGGAGGAGCTTCCCAGGGAAGATTTTAGCCTCAGGAACCTAGGTGACCAGGGGCCTTTCCAAAGTTAGAGGGGTGGCCCTCTCCTCTCCAGGTAAAGCCTGTTAAAGAGCAGGCCTTGGGACAGTGGGGGTGGCCCCTGCCCCCTCTGGGTACATTCACATGCTTGATTGCCTCCTTTCTTGCAGACATTGTCCATGCTTCCTACTAGGATCCTGAGGCTGCTGGAGTTCGTGGGCTTTTCAGGAAACAAGGTAACCACCTGCTTCCTAGCACCCCTGACCTGCTCAGCCCCAAAACTGGGGCTGGGCTGGACACGGTGGGGCTGACAGGCCGCAGGGCCTAGGTGCCCGTCCTGGCTCAGCCCCTCTCATTGTATGACCCTGGACAATGCCCAGACCTCCCTGGGCCTCAGTCTTCTCTCCAGGCGAATCGGGCTAGTGATCCCTGCCTGGCCCGCCCAGGGTGCAGAGGCTCTGGGTGGGTGGGGGTGGCTATGAAGGGCAGCTCCATCAGTGGCTCAGGATCACACATTCTCTGAGCCTAACAGGTGTCAGGAGCTGGTCCCTCTTTCTGTAGATATTGCCTCACTTCAAGACTTTGAGCAAGTCCTTCCCCAAAGGACCATTTTCTGGTGCTACCACTTCATCCAGCAGATGCCTGAGGGAGGCCCTACTGGGCATCAGACCTTGAGGAGGAACCAGAGAACTCAAGCACCCAGAGACTTTACTGAGGGCAAGAACCTGAGTACCAACCCCAGGTTGAAGGCAGCAGATCAGGGAGGGCTTCCTGGTGGAGGAGGCTTTGTGTGGTAGAAGGAGCACTGGCCTGGAAGTTAGGATCTCTGGGTCAGTCCAGCCTCATCCCCTTTTCTCTGTGACTCTGAGCAAGTCCCTACCTTCTCTGAACCTCTTTTTAGTAAAATAAGGACCTTGTTATGGACCAGATAAGTGTTTCTCAAATGTGCACTGACCCTTACTGATACTTGCCACAAGCACGGACCTCTCTTTTATAATGTATATATTACTTTTCTCAAAAGTGACTCATGACTTTTACTGAAATTGATTCAAAGGAAACATGTCTACACAAACCTCCATATTATTTGGCATGATAAGAACATAGTCATAAAAATAAATACCACAAGGGCCCAGCCATCTTTTGGAAAGCCCAGCTAGACTATGTGGTGGGCCCGGGTTCAGCCAGGGCTGCCTCTTTCTGAGAAAGGGGGCTTTGGGTGAGAGAGTTCACACCCCAAGAGCAAAGGACTGGGGATGTCTCCTGGGCACCACCAAAGGATAGAAAGATAACTGAGAAGGGAAAACGCTCACGGTGACTCAGTGTTTCCTGGCGCCTGCCCACGGACCCCTGAGATCTTGGCTGCCCTCTGCTGTCTGAGCTTTGGAAAACATTGGCTAGAGGCTGTGAAGGTCTCTTTCAGTTTTGTTTCCTTAAGAAAGCACATGGGTCATGAGTAGGACTTCAGGATGATGAAGGGAGGGCCCAGAGGTGAGGCAGTGTGGCCGGGCCAGGCGGGTTGCGGGACCTACTGTGCCTGCCGGGTCTTCCTCTTTATCTCGAAGGCAGGGGAGCCATGGAGGGTTTGAGGCAGGAGTGAGGCAGGTCAGATTTGTGTTTTAGAAAGAACGAGAATGCTCTGGAGGACAGACGGGGGCAGAGACTGCAGGCAGGGAAACAAGGTGGGGGGTCTGCCCCCAGCCCCTCCCCAGCCAGGCTCTGGAGGCTTCTCCCCCAGGAAGCCTTCCCAGGCCCCACCTATGCCCTGAGCCCATGGCTGGGATCATCCACCTCCGTGTCTCTCGTGCTCCCAGCCAGACCTGGGTTGCTAGGGCCCTCAATACCCATCGCAGGGCAGCCGAGCCGGTGACTACAGGGAGGGTGGGGAAGGGGCTGTGGAGAAGGTGGGGGACACCTGAGACCCGCCAAGCCTTTGTCCTGGCCTTGGCAGTCATGTCCCCTTCCCCCAGGAATGCGCTGGGGCACTGAGGGGCAGCCCCTTGCTCAGGGCCACGCAGCTGACCTGGCCTCCAGGGTTCCAGCGCTCTTCCGCCCCTTTGCCGGCAGCACTGCCCACACAGCTGTCCAGCTGCCTCCCAAGCCCCTGCCCTCTCTGGGAGCCTCACCCACCCTCCCGTCCCCTCAGGACTATGGGCTGCTGCAGCTGGAGGAGGGCGCGTCAGGACACAGCTTCCGCGCTGTGCTGTGTGTCATGCTCCTGCTGTGCTACCACACCTTCCTCACCTTCGTGCTCGGTAGGCGCCCCTGTACAGGGGTCCTGGGGCCCTGGGGTTTGGTCGTCTCCAAGGGGGCAGGAGAATGAGGGACTACAGACCCTGCTCATGCCCCTGTGGCTAGGGATAGGGGTACTGAAACCAGAAACACAGCCACATCCACTGTCCCGGGGACTGGCCTGCTGACGCCCACTACCTCACAGTGTGACTAGGTTCCAGCCTCAGTTTTCTCATCTGTGAAATGGGGGGGGGGGTGGTGCCCACCCTGTGGAGGGTGTGAAGACACTGTGTACAGCACCTTATGGTTCTGGGCACAGCCTTGGTGTACACAGGCTCCTGGTTATCGAGCCCTGTGAAGTGCTTGGGGCGATATCTGCACTGCCTTATATAATCCTCACGTCACCCTAGGGACAGGGAGAATTATCATCCCCATTTCACAGAGGGGGAAGGGGAGACCCTGGGAAGCCCCTACTGGGTTACTGGCAGGATCACAGGAGCCAGGGGTGCTGACATGTTCTGTGTCTCCCCTACCACCTCCTCCAGGTACTGGGAATGTCAACATCGAGGAGGCCGAGAAGCTCTTGAAGCCCTACCTGAACCGGTACCCTAAGGTGAGCCCCATGCGCTGCCCGGTACCCCCAGCCCACAAACACCCACAGACCCGCACGGACCCACACGGACGCATGTGTGTTATTGCAGGGCGCCATCTTCCTGTTCTTCGCAGGGCGGATTGAAGTCATTAAAGGCAACATTGATGCAGTGAGTGATGGGGGTCCGGGCCGGGGCTGGGGATCCCTCGGGCTCTCCCAGGTCAGCAGTAAGTCAGGCACATGTGACATACTCAGGGACAGGACAGACTGGGAGGAGTTCCCCCAAGAGACAACCAACCAGAGAGCAGGAGAGGGAGGGGCCCTTCGGACAGAGCAGCCTGGGAAGACGGAGGAGGAGGCATTTGTGGTGCCTGGGATTTTGACTGGGAGATATAGGACTGCAGCACTGCAGTGGAAGGAGGTGCGGGGAGGTGCTTGAGGGAGGCAGAGGTTAGGAAAGCCCATCTGTTTAGGGCATGGCCATTAGGCTGGAGTCTGGTACCTCCCCTCCATTATAGCTCTGTCCTGTTCTTTCAATTTGTTACAAAAAACCAGGGTCCCAGGCGGGGACTGTATTTGGGCCCAAGGTCATGTAAGACTTAGGAGGTAAAACCAGAACTGGAGGCCAGATCTCCTGGCTCCTGGGGCCCCATCTGAGCCTAGCACAGGGTTGGACCACCATGACCTGGAGAGGCCCGGTCTGCTGTGGTGTTGGGAGGTGCGGAGGATGCAGAGGGTTTGGGGCTGGGTGGGCACCCATCAGGCTGACCAGAAGGTGCCTGCAGGCCATCCGGCGTTTCGAGGAGTGCTGTGAGGCCCAGCAGCACTGGAAGCAGTTCCACCACATGTGCTACTGGGAGCTGATGTGGTGCTTCACCTACAAGGGCCAGTGGAAGATGTCCTACTTCTACGCCGACCTGCTCAGCAAGGAGAACTGCTGGTCCAAGGTGGGCTGATGCCATGTGTTAGGAGCATTGGGTGAACAGGGCTGACTGTGTGCCTCCAGACCAGGGGCCAAATCCCTAACTAAACACAGATGTCTCAGCTGAAATCTAAACATAACTGTAAATTCTAATAGGACTCAGGCTTGGAAGGAACTAAAGACCACAAGAGAAACTTCTGAACCACAGTGTGTCACAAAGAGACTTCTAGTTACAAAAGACAGAAACATGGCTCCCTCTGTCCAACAGAACTGTCTCTATGGTAGAAATGTTCTACTTATGCACTGCCCACATATGGTAGTCACCAGTCACATGTACACAGTGAGCACATGAAATGTGCCTAGTGCAGCTGGGAAACTGATTGTTTTCAGTTTTACTTAATTCAGTTAACTAAATGTTAAATTTAAATAGCCATGTAAGGCTAGTGGCCACTATATTGGACTATGCAATTCCAAAACACAAAAGGCTCATATAACTGAACATTCTTGGCACATCCGACTTCAGGTAGGGCTGGATCCAGGAATTCAAATGAAATGTCTGGCTTGGTCTTTCCATCTGTGACTGTGCTCTATCCTGTGACATCTTTGTTTCTGCGACATCTTTGCAGGAAGCTTCTCTCCATGTGACAGGCAAGGTGGCCATGGGCTGCTTCTACTCACATCCTCCCCTTGGTTTCAACCAGAGTCCCACAATTCAGCCTCACTGGTCTGACTTGTCACATGCCAATGCCTGGAACAGAGGGGTGGGAAGATTCTTCATGGGCTGAGAGTAGGAGAGGAGTGGTTCCACAGAAGAAAATGATGCACCCAGAAATAGTGGAGGGATTACAAGATGCCATATAGGCAAAACAAAGCTAAACAGATGCTTGCCTACCAAAGATGAAATTTATCACGGTAAGTATTGAAATAAGTGTTAGCTTGTACCATCATAGTAATGATAGTGCAGAAATTGGAACCAAGAGTCTTAGAACCACCTAGCTCAGCAAACGTCTAATCTGTTATTTGTAAATACACAGGACATGTGTCTTCACGGCTTCATCCCCTGCCCATAGCAGACATTGCTAATCAATCCTCTGCCATGAGCCTGGCTGTGACCTTAGATGCTTTCCCTGCAAAGCTCCAGGCAGCTGTTAGAACTGACCCGCACTGGCACCTGTTAGGAGACCTGTCATCTGCATCTGGTCCCTCCCCCTCCTCCACATGGAGGTCTCTTTTCAGTAGCCCTGCCTGGGGACCAAGCTGAAGGGGAATTCTCTGGGTCTGGGGCAGGTGGGGCTAGGGAAGGGAACAGGCTTCTACTGAGCTCTCAATGTGTCTGGCACCTGTCCTGTCCTCCACACCACACCCAGTGAGGAGAAGTTATTATCTCCATTGGGCACATGAGGGCCACTGACGCTAAGCGAGGACTGTGACTTTCCCACCCACATGGCTGTTGGTGACAGACACTGGATTTGAGGACAGTCCTGTGTGACTCAGAGGCCTCTGCTTCTCTCTTGCTCCTAGAGTCCTCCCGAGGAGTCGGGGCTTGCCCTGAGCCCACCCTGCTACTGAAGGTGCTTCCTCAGGCCCAGCTCCCATGGCCCCTACACCCCCTCCTACTCCCAACAAGGACAAAGCCTCAGGGAACCTTTTTTCTTTTTTGAGAGATAGGGTCTTGCTATGTTGGTCAGGCTGGTCTTGAACTCCTGGGCCCAAGCAATCTTCCCATCCCTGCCTCCTAAAGTGCTGGGACGCTGGGCCTTAGGGAACCTTTTTGAACTGAAAGTGACTCTTGAAGCCTTCCTGTAGAGTGAGGTGGGTGGCTGGGGCTAACCACATGGGGAAAGGGAGACCTGGTGGGGGCACACAGCTGCTATATAGAGGAACGGAAGGTGGGCCAGGTCTCCCAGCTGTCAGGAAGTCTGGCTCAGTTCCCAGCCCGCTGGGGTGGCCAGTCCCGCTCTCTCTGCAACACTCTCCTCATGAGGACTTCCTGTGAAAAACGGGGGTTGTAACACTCTTGAGTTCTGGGGACCCACCCATTTCTAATCTCCAGAACTTGGCCATCGCAGACTCCACCAACTTCTAGTCCTGGGGCCTGGGCCTCTGGCCATTGCCATAGGCACCACCCGCTCTGCACAGGCAGTGCCCCTCTCTGCCAGGATCCTCCGAGGTCAGCTGCTGGGTCTGACCCGCAGACCCTGACTGAGTGATGGATGAACAGAGTACGCAGACACAGGCTTGCCTGTCAGCAGATAGGGGACCCTTGCCAGAGTTAGCAGCAGCCCCCATAAGCCGGCCATGCTTGCATTTATTTAGTACAGATGTAATGACAAAGGCCTAAAGCAAACTCCATTTCTGGGTAATTAACATTGTGCCCCCCGCCCCACCCCCGGAGAGAGCAGTCCTCCGCTCGGATGATTAAAGGCCAGGTTCCGAGGCCTAAGTAAACTAACTTATCTAGATCAATTCCCTTCTTGTTATCTACTCTGAGAGAACTCAGCTGTCTTCAGCCACATCCTTTCCCGACGCTTTTGCAAAACCTCCCAGCCTTCCAAGAAGGTTTGCTGCTTTATATAATTTTTCCCACCCTGACCTATCTCCTACAGTCAGCCCTGTGGAGGCCTTTGTGTTTCCCCCAGTGCTGGCAGCCTGGAGGCTTAGATGGCCAGAAACAAGGCAGTGACAGTGGCCTGCTCAGGGCTTGGGAAACCCAAGGAGCTAAAGGCATCCTCGGGCAACCCAAGAGGACAGGAAGGCTTCTGAGGAGAGACCTCTGAGGTGGGTCTTGGAGAGGAAGGATTTAGGGAGGCAGAGTGGAGGAAGTGAGAGGACACCCCAAGCCAAGAGGGCGGCAGGACCAAAGGCTCAGAAGCCAGAGCATTGCGGAGGGGCTCTGTGCCATGGGGTGAAGAGTTTGCACAGCAGAAGAGCAGGGGGCCTGTATCAGGGGAGACAGCTGCTTTTTTCCCCCAGTGTGGCCGCCGTACTTCTCTGGAGAGCTGGGGCGTCCACAACTCTCAGTCACAGCCTCCATCCTAACCCTGCTGGTGCTGTGAGGGTGAGCTGTCTGTGGGCAGGAGGGAAGGCTCTTGGAGGTGAGCCTGGTGGAGAAGGGATAATGGCATCCCAGGCCGAGGAACAGCACAGGCAGAGGCCCGAGGAGAGTTTAAGGAGTGTAGGGCAGGAAATGGCAGAAGATGAGCCAGAAAAAGAAAGGTTAGGGCAGGCCGTGGAGGACGTGAGTGGCTGTTTGGGCTTTATCTAGCAGTAGGGGAGCCCTGGCAGGCTTGTGGCTTAGATAGGTGCTTTAGGAAGCCCACCAGCAGTTGCTGGGCCATCCCCACTTGCCAGGTCCTGTTCTAGGCCAGGAAATACAAGAGTGAGCAGGAAAAGACCCCCTCTGAAGGCTCACATCCTAGTGGGGAGAGAGACAAGAAACACAGATGTGCAATATAACATGATGTCTGGTTCCAGTAAGAGAAGTGAAGAACAAGCGAGGCCGGGCGCAGGGAGTGACGGGAGGGGCTCCTTTGTAAGGGGAGGTCAGGGGAGGCCTGTCTCAGAGGACACCAGAATGGAGTGCAGGAGCAGCGCATGGCAGTCACAAAGCAGGCCATTTGGGCAGAGGGAGCTGTGTAGGGCAGGGCAGGAGTGTGTTTGATGTGTCCTGGGAGCAGCCTGGAGGCCGTCGTATGGCTAGAATGCGGCAGGTGTCGGGGGAACAGTAGATGTCTCCTGAGTGTGATGGGATACAACCAGATTTCCAGAAGGGACTGACGTGAGCTGACTTAAAAAGGTCAGCGTGGGAATGGCTTGCAGGGTACAGGAGTGGGAGCAGGGAGACAGGAGACAATGTGTACCAGGACAGCAGAAAGACATCCTGGGTAGCCTGGAACAGGAAGACGGTGTGGAGATGGTGGCAGTGCGATAATGAGAGCCATAGGGCAAGGCCAGCAGGATCCTAGAGTGAGACGGGAGGTAAAGTCACTGGGACTTGGTGCCTCCACGTCAGGGGCAGGGGAAAGGGAGAGGACAAGGGCGACCCGGGAGGTTAAAGATGGGACCGGGGCCAGGCGCAGTGGCTCATGCCTGTAATCCCAGCACTTTGTGAGGCTGAGGCGGGCGGATAGCTTGAGGTCAGGAGTTTGAAACCAGCCTGGCCAACATGGTGAAACCCCGTCTCTACTAAAAAATAAAAAAATTGCCAGGCTTGTAGTCCCAGCTACAAGCCGGGAGGCGGAGGTTGCAGTGAGCCGAGATCGCGCCATTGCACTCCAGCCTCAGTCTGGGCGACAGAGCAAGACCATCTCAAAAAAAAAAAAAAGGGTGGGACCAGGAACAGGTTTCAGGGAGGGAGACTCTTCCCACAAAGACCAGCTTTTCCTCATGTTGTAAAGGGCGGGCTGAGGCCCCGGCATGGGTGGGGCTGCCAGGTGGAGGCCGCTTTCCGCCTGCTCTAGGCAGGACTCCCGGATGTCCGGCGCCCTTTCCTCTGCACCCTTTCTTAGCCAAGAGGCAAGAGCTATGGTTCGGAACTTGGCCACCTGAGGGCAGCACAGAGCCAGGCTCCTGTCTCGGGACTTCTGAGGAAGGGGCGTGGCGTGCAGGGAGAACTGGGTGGGGTAGGGGGTTCTCCCGCAGGGCCACGGTTTCACTGTCAGGGCTGGCTGTGCATCTAGTGGGCAAGGCCGTGGGGTCGACTCCCGGCTCTGCCCCAGTAGCTCTGGGGTCCCAGGAAGCAGAGATAGGGTACGGACTCCTTTCTGGCATTGGCTTTGGGATCAAGCGAGGTGCCGGATTTGATGTGCCTGGCACACAGCAAGGCAGTTAGTTCTACCAGAGTGGCCCGAGCTGAGCCGACCCAGGCCCTGCTCACGTTTCTGGCTCAAGCCTCTTTTTTTTACAGCCCGTGCTTCATCGTCTATTGATAATCCACACACATCCTGTCGCCTCCTGGCTTTGCTCAGCCCCTTCCCCTTGGCTGGAAGGCCCTGACTAGGGCCTCGGGGAATTTCCCCATTGCCCTTCAGGGGCCCACTCTGAAGGTGTTGCTTCCCGGAAACCCGATTGAGCCCCTGTCCTTGTGTCTCTGCCACAGTCTCAGCCTGTCCTACCCATTACTAGTTACATGGGTTCTTCTTGCCACTGCTTCAAGTGGAGAAGAAGGTGGCTGCTTTAACATGCGTTGTCCTGGATTCCGGTCTTCAAGTTGCTTCAACTTCTTACCTTCGTTTTTCCCCTGGGGCTTGGAGACAACACGAGCTCCTATGCTGGGCCACGTGAGGTCCGTCTGCAGATTCCAGCCGGGCTGGGACTGGAGGAGGGCTGCTCACACCTGGCTGTTGCTCTGTCTCACACAGGCCACCTACATTTACATGAAGGCCGCCTACCTCAGCATGTTTGGTGAGGAGGAGTACAAGCCGTTCGGGGACAACGAAGTGGAATTATTTAGGTGGGTCTCACCATCGTGCTCCCACTGTGTAGGCCGCTATGGACAGACCAGCCAGGCTATCCTGAGCTGTGGGCACTGCGGAGGGAGGAGTGGGGTGACTCCCTGCCCCCACCCCAGGACTGACCCACCTGCGTGTCCTCCCCTTCCATTGCCACCCCATGCTGCTGCTACTGGTGGTTGGAGCCCTTTGAATTTCTTCAGAGGCTTTCTTTCACAGAAATGGTTTTGTCAATATCATCTCCCTCCAAGTCTCTTTCATGTGGGCAGTAGGACAGATATGGCCACCAAGGTCCAGGGAGGGAAGGTCTTTCACTCTGCTGAGTTAACCTGAGACACTCAGAGAAGCACAGTGGAGAGCTGAGAGTCGAAATGGAACAAACAGGAGTAAACCCAGCCTCTGCTTGTTCTTAGCTGTGTCACCTGGGACAACTTTGGCATCTGTAAAATAGGAATAACAACCTCCACCTCGCAGCACTGTTTTGCAAATCAACTAGATAATAAATGTTAGGCGCCTAGAAGCTGCCCGCTAAGTGGTGGCTGTTTTCATTCTTCCTGTACCACCGTGTTTGCTTCCTGTGAAGCATCTTTAGAGCAGAGCTCAGCCGTGGCAGGTGGAGGATGGAGCTTGGAGCCTTCCTCCAGTCTTGGTGAGGTTGACCCCAATTTGCAGACCTGGAAGTGGGTATAATATGGGCCTCCTAGGCTACTGCTGTCACAATAATAGGGCATTCATCACTTCCAGAGTGTCTGCTACTACAGCAGGTTCCATGCCCCCTCTCAGATGACTCTTCCAGAAAGCCTAGGAGGCCAGGTGTCATTACCTCCATTTTAGAGATGAGGAAATTAAGGCCAAGAGAGGTTCTACAGTGAATAAGCAAACGAAGAGTTTGGGGGGACCTCACACCCACATCCAGCTGTTTCCTGTGCCTAAATGGCTCAGGCCTGAGGTCACAGCCACACCCAGTGACTGTGGCAGAAATAGGAGGAGGGTGGGATGGAGCTGGGTGGGTGAGGCCCCAGATGTGGAGGCGTGCCTGGTGGCATACCGCATTTTGCTTTGGCCCTGGAAACAGCTGAGAAGGCCAGAACTTGCGAGGCAAGAGTTCATTAAGGGTTTGAGCTGTTTGGTGTTGGGTAGGTCGCACCCTTTCTCTGAGTGTTGGTCTCTCCTGTGAAATTGGGATTAAACTTCTCTTGAGTCCTCCCCGGAAATGGGGCCTGGGAGTGGAGGCGATAACTAGGAGGCAGGACTGGCCCAGGGGTGTTTGGCACACTGGCACCTCTGCCAGCTGGCAGGGAGGAACCCATTGCCCAGCCATAGGAAGTGGCCAGGTCTTGGGGCAGGGTCCCTAAAATAAGACCATAGCCGCAGGCTATTTCAGACCTAGAAGGCTCTTTAGAGTCCAACACTGTCATTGTACGGATGGGGAAACTGAGGCCCAGAGAGGGGCCAAGCATGGCTGGGTAGGCTGGGGACCCTCTGCCCTCTCCTACTCTTTTTCATCCTCTCCCACCCTCCCCATCTCTTTCGCAGAGCTGTGCCAGGCCTGAAGCTCAAGATTGCTGGGAAATCTCTACCCACAGAGAAGTTTGCCATCCGGAAGTCCCGGCGCTACCTCTCCTCCAACCCTATCTCGCTGCCAGTGCCTGCTCTGGTGGGTAGGAGGTCTGGATTGGCACTGCCCTCCGAGTATAGAATTGTGGGGATTCACTGAGAGCCACAGCTAGGGGGAAGTGGGTGAGGAGAAAGACCTTCATGCCTCAGGGGCCTGGGGAGGGTTTTGCAATTCACCTGCAAGTCTGACCCAGCCTCTACCCCTTAGAAAGAGATGGTCCACTGGGGCTGGGAGTGGAGAGACAGGCAGGCTGCAGATAAGAGGCAGAGAGGGTCGCCCTCCTGGACAGATAGCCCCATGTCACTGTGCCCAGGCAGAGGCATCACCCGGCTGCCTGTGATCCCAGCCTGACTGCTCCAGTCTTGTCACAATGATTTTCATTGTTTTCACGGTCCCCCTCACTGGGCCAGCGTCTTCACGTTATATTCAACTCTGAACTCACATAATAGCCAACATTGTTATTGAGCACTTGCTCTGTTCAAGGCTGCCCACACCCATTGCCTGTTGCTTCATTTGAGCCTCACATCAGCCCTCTGAGTAGGCGCTGCTGGTATCTCCATTTTACAGATGGGGGTAACAAGACCTAACAGATCAGTAGAAAGATCAAATAACTTGCCCAGGTCACACAGCTGGTGAGTTGGAGTCAGAATTTGAACTCAGCAGTCTCGGCCCACAGCCCATATTCTGAGCTGTGGTTGTGATGCTAATTCTATGCACGATTTGAGTAGGCATCCGATAAAGTTCCAGCTTGCTAAGAGTCCTTGTTATTCAAGTAGTAAGGGAGCCGGAAAAGTGGAAGGAAGCCTGCTTGAGAGACCTTTTTTTGGTCCTGGCTGTACTGTTCATTAACTGAATAGCCTTATGTCGGTTCCCTCTTCCCCTTATGTAAAATGGCTATAGTAATAGATTCCTTTCCCATTTCACAGAGCAGTTATGAGCATGAACGAGAAAAATGTGTTAAATACTTTATCAATTGAAAAGGTCAATATTTGGCCGGGCGCGGTGGCTTATGCCTGTAATCCCAGCACTTTGGGAGGCCGAGGCGGGCGGATCATGAGGTCAGGAGATCGAGATCATCCTGGATAACTTGGTGAAACCCTGTCTCTACTAAAAACACAAAAAATTAGCCAGGTGTAGTGGCGTGCGTCTGTAGTCCCAGCTTCTTGGGAGGTTGAGGCAGGAGAATGGTGTGAACCCAGGAGGGGGAGCTTGCAGTGAGCCGAGATCACGCCACTGCACTCCAGCCTGGGCGACAGAGTAAGACTCTGTCTCAAAAAAAAGGTCAATATTTCTATAGTTTGATTCAGCACTTACAACCTGAGTATTTCTAAAGTTTTAAAATATTTTATGGTTTAAAATATACAATAGGCCAGGCGTGGCTCACGCCTGTAATCCCAGCACTTTGGGAGGCAGAGGCAGGTGGATCACCTGAGATTGGGAGTTTGAGACCAGCCTGACCAACATGGAGAAACCCTGTCTCTACTACAAATACAAAATTAGCCGGGCATGGTGGTGCATGCCTGTAATCCCAGCTACTCGGGAGGCTGAGGCAGGAGAATCTCTTGAACCCAAGAGGTGGAGGTTGCCGAGATTGTGCCATTGCACTCCAGCCTAGGTAACAAGAGTGAAACTCCGTCTCAAAAAAAAAAAAAAGAATCCAGTAAAGCTATTGTTATCAAGTGGAGCAGGAGGATATTGTAGGAAGGGCAAGGGAAGCAACGACACCAAAAACTTAGGGGAGAATTTCCCAAACTGTAATCTGCAAAATACTGTTTATCCATTAAATGATTTCATTTGGGAAAGACTGGCCTAAACACAGTTTATATACTATAGACTTTCTTAGAGTCTTATATATTAATCTAAGAAGAAGCTTAAAGATATGTTTTTTCTCTAACTTATTTGGCCACAGAATCATTTTTAATTTTAATTTTTATTTATTTGGAGGGAAGGGAAGAATCCTTTTTTAAAAAATGAAACATTTGCTGGCCCGGTGTGGTGGTTCATGCCTGTAATCCCAGAACTTTGGGAGGCCAAGGTAGGTGGATCATTTGAGAGCAGGAGTTCAAGACCAGCCTGGCCAACGTGGTGAAACCCCATCTTTACAAAAAATTAAAAAATTAGTGGGGCATGGTGTCATGTATCTCTAGTCCCTGTTCCTCAGGAGCTTGAGCCCAGGAGGTCAAGGCTGCTGTGAGCTCTGATAGTGCCACTGCACTCCAGCCTGGGTGACAGAATGAGACCCTGTCTCTAAAATAAAATAAAATTAAACATTTGCTAACTTGGAACCAGGGAACAATTTGAGAAATACTGGTCTAAACTGAAATTCCCTTCCTAGAACATAATAACAAGAACCACAACAATAATGTCTTTCTAGAACTTTATGGCTACAAAGTGTTTTCACATCCATTACCTGGTTTGATAGTTTAGGAAATGCGCATTTAAGCAAACACAGTTACTATGAATGAAAGTTTAATTTAGTATTATTTTATTTTATTTATTTTTAAATATTTATTTTAGAGGTGGGGTCTCACTGTGTCATGCAGGCTGGAGTGTAGTGGTGATATCATAGCTCACTGCAGCCTCAAACTCCTGGGCTCAAAGGATCTTCTCATGTCAGCCTCCTAACTACAGGTGTGCACCCATGCTCAGCTACTATTTTTATTTTTTTGTAGAGACAATATCTTACTGTGTTGCCCAAGGTGGTGGTAAACTCCAGGGCTCAAGAGATCCTCTCACCTCAGTCTCCCAAAGTGCTGGGATTACCGGCATGAGCCACCACGTTCAGCCTAATTTAGTATTCTGAGCTTCCTGGCAGTCAAGGCAAAAACAAACAAAGAAAAGGAACCAGTAACCTGACAAAGACAAGGTGAAAATAAAATTTTTTTTTTTTTTTTTTTTAGACAGAGTCTCACTCTGTCACCCAGGCTAGAATGCAGTGGGGTGATCATAGCTCACTGCAGCTTAGATTTCTTGGGCTCCAGCAATCCTCCCACCAAAGCCTCCCAAGTAGCTGGGACCCCAGGCTTGCACCACTATGCCTGGCTAATTTTTTTTTTTTTTTTTTTTTTGGTGGAGATGGGATTTTGCCATGTTGCCCAGGCTGGTCTTGAACTCCTGAGCTCAAGTGATCATGATCCACCTGCCTAAGCCTCCCAAAGTGCTGGGATTACAGGTGTGAGCCACCATATCTGGCCCCAAGATTTTTTTTTTTTTTGACAGTGTCTCTGTCACCCAGGCTGGAGTGCAATGGTGCCATCTCGGCTCACTGCAACCTCTGCCTCCTGGATTCAAGCAATTCTCCTGTCTCAGCCTCCCGAGTAGCTGGGATTACAGGTGTGTGCCACCACACCCGGCTAGTTTTTGTATTTTTAGTAGAGATGGGGTTTCACCATGTTGGCCAGGCTGGTCTTGAACTCCTGACCTCAGGTGATCCACTCACCTTGGCCTCCCAAAGTGCTGGGATTACAGGCGTGAGCCACTGTGCCCGGCCCCCCAAAATTTTTTTAATTAAAAAAAAAAATCTAAGAAAAAGAAAAAAAGGAATCAGATGTGTTTTAAGAGTCTCAATGATGGTAACTTCATTCTAAAGGAAATGGAATGTGAGTGTCATTATTTAGCCCGTTGCTTTGGGAGAATAGGAGTAGGAAAGAAGGTGACATAGCCTTAAATTCTGTTGTCCTGAAATGTGTGTATGGAGCATGGCCTGGTCCTTAAAGGACAGAAAGTGGCCCCAGAGAGGTTGGGAGAAAGGACGTAATAGCACTCAGGGAGGGCATGAGCAGAAAAATAGCTGGAAAACTTCGGCAGCTATGAGCAGCACAGTACGGACATTGGTCCATCTTACATTTGCACTGGGGTAAGGTGAGAGCTCAGTACGAAATCAACGATAAGGCTCCCATAATCCCCTCAGGCCCACAGCTTCACAGGCTGACTGAGACCTGTTATGGATGATTAGAGCTAGAAGGGCCTTTAGGGAACCTCTGATCTGAACTGCCCATTTTGTAGATGGGAAAACTGAGGCCCCATTAGGAAAGAAGCCTGGGACTGACTTGCCCTCCTGCCTTCAGGAAATGATGTACATCTGGAACGGCTACGCTGTGATTGGGAAGCAGCCGACACTCACAGATGGGATGCTTGAGATCATCACCAAGGCGGAAGAGATGCTGGAGAAAGGCCCAGGTGACTTCCCTCAGGCCCTTGAGCCTGCTGAGCTAGGTCAGGTCTTTACAGCTGAAGGTTCCCTTTGCCAAAAATGTCCTTCCCCCGTTCCCTACCCTGGCAATTCTCCTTTCCCTCTCTAGACTGAGCTCCTCCAAGCAGCTGTTCCTTGTCCCCCTGGTAGGGTCAAAGCCTCTGGGCTCCCACAGCCATGGGGCTTCCTTCAGTCCTGACCTCACTGTATTGTCATTGTCATTGTCATTGTCTCAGTATTTGCCTTTCCTTCTCAGATGTGACCCCCCCTGAGGACAGGGACCATGTCCGATTTACCTGTGTCCCTTTGATCTAGCACAGAGTAGGGGGCTCTATAAGTAACTGCTGCAGAAATGAACAAGTCTGTCTTTTTCCCTCACATCCCTATTTTCAGAGAACGAGTACTCAGTGGATGACGAGTGCTTGGTGAAACTGTTGAAAGGCCTGTGTCTGAAATACCTGGGCCGTGTCCGGGAGGCCGAGGAGAATTTTAGGAGCATCTCTGCCAAGTAAGTGCCTCTGCAGCTGCTCCTGCTGGGTCTGAGTCTCCTGGGTAGAATATTCAGGGCTTCTCCATCCTCATGCCCACTGCAGTGGCTGACCCTAGCCAACCCCTGCTCACCACACAGGTACTAAACTAGTGTCCACTCTTGCCAGGACTTGTGCCGGGACCTGTACAGATAATTCAGACCTAGCCTCCCAGTGCCACCAAATTGTGTGACTACAGGAGCACATCCACGTTGTTTCGAGTGAACAGTGTGCCCTGGAGTTTGTAATTCAGCGACTCTGTCCTTGCCTTCGGGGAGGGCAATATGACAGATGGCAAGCTGTAGGCAGCCCAACCAAGGCTCATCAGGGCCATGCTAGAGGAAAGCAGAGAGGACAGCAGGTGCCCGAGGAGGGACCTGAACTTCATGGGAGGTACTAGGAAAGGCTTTCTAAGGCTGACGTTGAAAGTGGGAAGTTCATCAGGCGGAGAAAGCAAGGGAGGACAGGTTTGAGGTGGAGTAGGGACAGCATGCACCAGTGCATGGACACAGGAAAGACACCTGAGGTGGGGTGACGGCAATGGGGTCTTTGCCTGTCTGGGTGAAATCATAGAGAGAAAAGACTGAAGATGAAATAAGGGATAGAATGAGAAGGGCCTGGATGTTTTGTTCACAAGGCTAAATTGTATTCCAAAGAAGAGAGTCAGAAAGGGTACCGGGCAAGGAAGATATCTCCAGGGCAGCATGGAGGTCGGGTCAGAGGGGACAGGTCAGAGACAGGAGACTTTACAGTTCAATAAATCATTCAACCTGGAGAAAGGGAGGTTGGGACTTAGGTGGCGGTGGATTAAGGACATGACAGGAGCCGTAAGTTGTCAGGGAGCTGGAGCCCAAGGTTACACACAGGATGGGAAGGCTTTGCTGTGGATCCCAGCCTTTCTATGGCTTGGTAGTGGGAACCTCCCAAAATTGCAGTTCAGGTTAGGAAATCCTCACGTGCAGTTTGGGAAAGGCTCAGGAGGAGGAACCTGAGCCATGTCTTCTGTTCTGCAGTGAAAAGAAGATTAAATATGACCACTACTTGATCCCAAACGCCCTGCTGGAGCTGGCCCTGCTGTTTATGGAGCAAGGCAGAAATGAAGAGGCCATCAAACTCTTGGAATCTGCCAAGTAAGCCTTGCGTAACCTCAATCTGTCCTTTGCTCCCTTTGAACTCAGCTCAGGAGCTGGCTGGGGACAGAGTTGCCCAGACAGCAGTGAGTGGAGTTGCTAGCAAGGCCAGTCTGGCAGTCTAGAGGGCGGACCTGTGTCCCTCGGAATCCAGCTCTCACCTGTCATAGGAAGACTTCTTTTTTTTTTTTTTTTTTGAGACGGAGTCTCGCTCTGTCGCCCGGGCTGGAGTGCAGTGGCCGGATCTCAGCTCACTGCAAGCTCCGCCTCCCGGGTTCACGCCATTCTCCTGCCTCAGCCTCCGGAGTAGCTGGGACTACAGGCGCCCGCCACCTCGCCCGGCTAGTTTTTTGTCTTTTTAGTAGAGACGGGGTTTCATCGTGTTAGCCAGGATGGTCTCAATCTCCTGACCTCGTGATCCGCCCGTCTCGGCCTCCCAAAGTGCTGGGATTACAGGCTTGAGCCACCGCGCCCGGCCAGGAAGACTTCTTTCTTAATGTATGAATGGGCAGTTAGACTCCCAGAGGCAGGAAGTAAGTTCCCAAGGTCACATCAGAAGCCAGCTGCACGGCTGTGTGAGGACCCATGACTCCTGCCTTCCAGGGTAGAGGTCTATTCCCTAAAACCACCCCTTCAAGCTTAGGAACCCAGGAGGACCAGGAGTGGTTCCAGTGGGCATGATACCAGGGGTGAGGGGCCACAAACCTTTCTGGTTAACTCTCCCACTGGGCAGGGCTCAACTCTCTCGGGACCCAGGAATTTCTCTACAGTCCTTCCTTGGCTGGTGGGGCTCACACAGCTCCACAGGAGGAAAAGCATCTCTGGGAGCAAGCAGCCTCATGTGTCTGATTCTCTGCTCAATTCCAGGCAAAACTACAAGAATTACTCCATGGAGTCAAGGACACACTTTCGAATCCAAGCAGCCACACTCCAAGCCAAGTCTTCCCTAGAGAACAGCAGCAGATCCATGGTCTCATCAGTGTCCTTGTAGCTTTGTGCAGCAGTTCTGGGCTGGAAGACAAACAGACAGCTGGACAGAGCTCCTGGAAACATTTCAAAAGATCCCCTCCCCCTGCCCTGCCCTGCCTTTGGGGTCCACCGGCGCTCCGGTTGGATGGCACGACATGGGTATCCGTGCAGAAGCCAAGCTGGCATTTTCACCAGTGTGGCCAAGGGCCTTTGCCAAGGGCAGAGCAGGTGGAGCCCTCTGCCTGCCTATCACACATACGGGTACTTGCTTTTCACTGTGATGTTTAAGAGAATGTATGAACAGTTTACATTTTCCTTAGAAATACATTGATGGGATCACAGTTGGCTTTAAAAACCAACAACCACCAACCACCTGTAAGTCTTTGTCTTCACCTATTATCATCTGGAGGTAAATCTCTTTATATGATGATGCCAAAGGGCAAATTGCTTTTCAAATTCAGCAAGTTCTCAGCTTGTGTGACTGAAGGGCCTTCAGAGGACCTGAGGAGTGCCTGGGAGAGGCTGAGCCTCAGGCTTCAATGCTTCTGGGGTTGGGCACGAGGATGCACACAGACATCCACTACTTTACTACTCACACTTCATTTCACTCCTTTTGTAAATTTCCAATTTAAAAATCAAGCACATCTTTTTAGTGAGATAAAATCTGAGCTCTTGTGTAGAAAAATCCATCTCCACCAGTAGGAAATGCCACAGCTTGATGGAAGAGCTGTGTGGCCCTTTCTGTGCCAAAGCCAGGGATTTTGGGGGGCAGGAGGAGGTTCTCAGAATCCAGTCTGTGTCTTTGCTGTATGCCAACCTGAAACCACTGGGAATAATTTATGAAAGATAAAAATCTTCTGTACTTCACTCCAAGGTACATTTACTTACTGACAGCATTTTTCTTAGAACTGTTATCCTTGACCTGTTGTGTATGTGTTAGATTCTTCAATTAAGAGATAAGAGACATTTAAGTGATAAAATTTATGCCCTTAAGGGATCGTGCATCATATATTTCAATAAAATATGTGTTGCATGAATCCTTAGGCCGGACAGAAAGTCTTAATCAGAAGCCACACGGCCTATGTATGTTTTATTTAGACCACACAATGTTTTAAACTTTTTGAATAAGTTACCAGCATTCATAACAAATGAATCTGGTTCCTGGCCTGTAATTAAAAAATAATAATAATAAAAAATAAGATCTGGCAACATTGAGCCGCATTCCCATGAGGCAACAATCAGCTAGAGCTAAGTTGCGGCTACTTTAAACACTTCTGTTACCTTTCTGGCCCCTAAAAGCATCTGAATTTGCAACCTCTGGGATTGTTAAAGTGAGAACTCAGGTTCAATGACCAACACCAGGTTTTACTCTTCACTTTCTAATGTCAGCACACTTCAACCTAACCATTTTCCTGTAGGGAAAATCATGTACCCAGTAAAAATATTCATCTGTGAAAACGTTACTCCCCAAATGCATGAATGCAATTTCTATAAGAGAAAAACCAGTTAAACTTTCCAATCCTCCAGCATTGCTGTATTTAACAAACACAGTATCTGCCAAAGGGCTGGGTTAATATATAAAGATTCAGTTGGTTGGTCACGATGGCTCACTCCTGTAATCCCAGCACTTTGGGAGGCCGAGGTGGGTAGATCACGATGTCAGGAGATCGAAACCACCCTGGCCAATATGGTGAAACCCCGTCTCTACTAAAAATTACAAAAAAAATCAGCTGGGCGTGGTGGCGCATGCCTGTAGTCCCAGCTACTTGGGAGGCTGAGGCAGGAGAATTGCTTGAACTTGGTAGGCAGAGATTGCAGTGAGTCAAGATCATGTCACTGCACTCCAGCCTGGCAACAGAGGGAGAATCCATCATATGTATATATATAATTTTGTTAGAATGAAACAAAAGAATATCCTCCATAGAGAGTAATCCCTTTGCAAGCTGTCTCTTCTCCAAAGCCTGGATGCTGGGAGACCAACCTGTTTCTAGGCTCCTGGACAGGACAGGATAGGGTGGTAGAGACAGGCTGCAGGAGGACAGGCCTCCATGGCTTTTCCACATGTTGGAATGCTGCCTGGTGCTGTATCAAAGCAGCACTACTCACAGGACACCAAACATATACTTTGGAAAATTGCAGTTTACAAAAAAAAACTGTATCTCAACGTTAATTTCAGGTGCGGTTTTTTTTTTTTTTTTTTTTGAGACAGAGTCTCACTCTGTCACCAGGCTGGAGTGCAGTGGCACGATCTCAGCTCACTGCAACCTCTGCCTCCCAGGTTCAAGCAATTCTCCTGCCTCAGCCTCCTGCATAGCTGGGAGTACAGGCACATGCCACCATGCCCAGCTAATTTTTGTATTTTTAGTAGAGATGGGGTTTCACCATGTTGGCCAGGATGGTCTCGATCTCCTGACCTCGTGATCCACCTGCCTCGGCCTCCCAAAGTGCTGGGATTATACAGGCGTGCGCCGCCGCGCCCCGCCACGGGTACTTTCGTTTCAAAATTTTGTCAAGATGATTTCCTTGTCAATATTTGCTGTTGATTTCCTGCTGGACTTAATAACCCTATTTCACTTTTACCCTGCTGCCCTGATAAGATAAATCAGTGGGTTTTGCCTCCTATATCCCACCTGCAAATTCTGAGATAATCTATCCAAAAAAAAAAAAAAAAAATATATATATCAGTGGCTTTGCCTCCTATCCCAACACCCTGCAAATTCTGAGAGAGATAATCTATCCAAAAAAAAAAAAAAAAAAATATATATATATATATATATATATATATATATATGAAGGACAATGAAAACACTGGGTTTCTAACATCACCATATATATCCTTCTTATGCAAGGGCCTTAGAAAGTGAAAATTCTGTCATAGACTCTCAGTGAGTCATCTGTGGTCACTGCTTCTCTAATAGTGCAGACCTTCTCAGCACATCTGCCGTGGAAAGGCCGCAGATCAGGTGGAAGGTTTGAGCCTGGAAATAAGGAGATCTGAATTCCAGTCCTGACTTTGCTACTGATTTTCAGCATAACCTTGGGAAAGCCACAGATACTCTAAAAATGAGCAATTTGGACAAGATTAAGGCTCTTTCCTGCCTTTTACAGTTTATGGGTTTTCATCTGCAAAATGAGGCAACAGATACACTTCCCTACCTTTCTGCTAAAGCCTTGCGTCCCTAACAATTCAACCTGAAATAATAGACTTCCTGAGGGGCTGTACAGTAGCCAGAACACCCAGAGAGCAAGTAATCCTCATTTAGAGAAAGTCTAGATCCTGTGCCCCACAGATGAATTCAGTTGTTAGGGAAGTAGCAACCATGTAACATGATCTGCACAGGTCCTTGGCAACAGAAAGTCTACCTCAGCCTCTCTCTGGTCACAGGCAGAGTGGCCTCTAGCAGTGTGCTGGGCCCTCAGCTCTCCCATGGGTGGGCAGGTTGCCCTATTATCTCTTGAGCCAGAATGGGAGTGTTTCCAAGACAGTTATCATCATTCACAGCAGAGAGCCACAACCTGACATCAAAGCCAGGATCCTAAAAGGCCAACACCAACTCAAGATTTGGCTGAGGTCCAGGTGGGAGAGTCCCAAGTGAAGAACGGCATCAAGAGGTGTTAAGAAAGCCCCAGTGCGCTGAGAACTAGAACCATTCACGGGAATCAAATCCAGACCCTTTCCTCTGGAGTTACTCCCAAGTTCATTTCTTCTAAGATGATGGGAGTCGATAGTCTTTTCCTTGTTTACTTCAAATTTAAAGCCCAACAGTGCCTTCTCAACATCCTTAGCATCATCACATTAATTCAGTCATACATGAGAGGTGTCTGGATTCTGAAATCCAAGAAGCAAATGGGAACTTCTCACGCCCACCCTCAGATGCAGCCTTCCAAGGTCGGAAAGTGCCTTCTGCTTGGGTTAGCACGGCTCGTTTGAATTCCAGTGCAAAGTTCATTAGTGATCAATAGGCTAGGTCCACAAACAACCTCATTTGGGGGCTCGAAAAATCCATTTCTAAATGAGTAATCTATGACTGCTTCCACTGTATAAAGTCAACTGTTAAGTGACAAAATAAGAACAGAGCTCTTTGGGAAGACAGAATTAACTGTTGAAGGTCTCTATGGACTGTTAAAAGTTGATGTTTGGCTGGGCACAGTGGCTCACATCTGTAATCCCAGCACTTTGAGAGGCTGAGGCAGGTGGATCAAAAGGTCAAGAGATTGAGACCATCCTGGCCAATATGGTGAAACTCCATCTCTACTAAAAATACAAAAATTAGCTGGGCGTGGTGGTGGGCACCTGTAGTCCCTGCTACTCAGGAGGCTGAGGCAGGAGAATTGCTTGAATCCAGGAGGTGGAGGTTGCAGTGAGTCGAGATCGTGCCTCTGCACTCCAGCCTGGTGACACAGCAAGACTCTGTCTCAAAAAAAAAAAAAAAAAAAAAAAGGGGGGGGGATGTTTAAGTTTAATCAGAGACATCACAGCTAATGTCTCACGAATGACTAGATCAGGTTTGTTTTTCTTCCTCCACATTAACAAACACTTCAGAACATCAGACACCATATGCTCTGGGGAAAAGAATAGAAGCTAATATTTATTAAATACTCATTATGTGCCAGTTGCTATTCTAAGTACTTTACATTTATGTAATCCTCATAATATTTATGTAACCCTTTGGAGTGGGGCCATTGTCATTTTGCAGATGGCAAAACTGAGGCATGGGTAAATAAGTTGCCTCAGATCACATGATTATGCAGCAGAAAGATTTGAAGACAGGCTGCTGAACTCTAAAGCCCGTACTTTGCTACACTGTTGGTCAAGCTGTAAAATCCTGTGTAAAGTTAGACCCAGCTTACACTGACTCATGGGCCACTGTGAAAATGGAAGAACCACTGGCTAATAGCTCAGCCATTGGAGATGCTCGGCTGCAAACACATGGAGCATGTCTGTGTGGCATGGTTCCCTTTGGCACTTGGCATCATGAAGTAGGGAGAGGGCCTAACTTGGAAAAAGCCAAAAGAAAAGCAATCCTTAAACAACAGTATTTGCTCAGAAAATCATTGAGGGATGATGGAGGAAAAGGCATGATCCAGTCCCCACTTGGATAGGTAGAGTTCCAGTCTACTCCACAGATGGGAAGTGAAGCCTGCACTGAGGCTTGATGCATAGCAAGTCCCGTGCTAGAAAGAGCTTGGTATAAGGCAATAAGAAAGAGGACCACTGGCAAACTGGGAAGCATATGATGCCAAAGGCACTAAAAACTGTTTTATAGTTTAAGCACCTAGGAGTGCTTGGCTAAGCACATCATATTTGTGGGTCAAAGTGACCCACGGGCCACAGCTTTGTCCTCCTGGTACCGAGATGACTTCCTACAGTTCTCTGGAAAAGAGGTTGTGAGCAAATTCACAGTATGAGAAAGCCCGGTTTACTAAAAATATCCAGCTTTTTTTTTTTTTTTTTGAGATGGAGTTTCGCTCTTGTTGCCCAGGCTGGAGTGCAATGGAGTGATCTCGGCTCACTGCAAGCTCTGCCTCCCGGGTTCAGGTGATTTTCCTGCCTCAGCCTCCCGAGTAGATGGGATTACAGGCATGTGCCACCACCCCTGGCTACCTTTGTATTTTTAGCAGAGATGGGGTTTCTCCATGTTGGTCAGGCTGATCTCAAACTCCCGACCTCAGGTGATCTTCCCATCTCGGCCTCTCAAAGTGCTGGGATTACAGGTGTGAGCCACTGTGCCCGGCCTACCCAACTTTTAAGTTCAATTAATTACATGGGGTAGTGGATAAAAGCACAACTTAGTCAAACCACTTCACTCCATTTAGAGAATCAGTTTACTCTTAGGCAAAGTGGGGTTTAATGCCAACTGCTTCCCAAGGGTTGTTGAGGATAAAGAGCAAGCATGTAAATGAATAGGCTAGCATGGCCC